AAGTCTAATAACAGAAAGAGAGCAAGAAAATCATGAAGTCATGGGAAGATGCAGTAAAAAAAAGGGTAAAGCAAAAAAATGTCAGTATCAACACAGTTCCTTTATTGTCAGTCAGGCATTCTAAAAAAATATGTGTCCATAAAAATGATTCAAAAATCAAAATTAATTGCACTATAAATGAATGTTCTGCTGAAAAAAAGGAACTGGAGCCACCAGTCCACCACCTAGTCCACATCCGGGGTAGTTCCAATTTGGAACAGGTGAGTCCCAGGCAGTGTGTGGTAGGTGTACCCAAGTGAATGGGACAGCAATGTACATAGGCAATGCAAGGGGATAAACCTTCTCCAGCTTGAAAACTACCCACCTACGCTCCAACCAGGCAAGATGAGTGACCAATGATTTGATGGTATACAATGGAAGATTGACGTCATGAAGATGGACCTGTTGCCCAAATTGGACTGGTTGCCAGGGCTTTGCTGATATTAGCAGTGGCATGTGGTGGTCAACAGATTTAGCAATGGAAGCAGATGGAGAGTGGTGACATCAGATGTGGTGAAGGGGCAAGGAAAATAAGTAGGAGGAGCAAAGAGGTGACAAAAAAGTGGCAAAGATAAAGGAAAGAAGAGGGCTCATGGTGGGGCTAGGTAAAGAAGGGGGAGTAAGGGAAACAACACAAGTGAGGGTGCAATACAATGTGCAACTAGTGGCGATGCAAAAATTTGCCAAAATGCCAAAAGTACTGAATGGAAAGTAAAGGTGAGCGCAACTTGATTGCCTAATAGAGGTGGGTGTGGATCAGCCACAAGTTCAAAAAAGACAATATTAATTACTATTCCACATGGCACTGTGCCTGTGTGGTGCAAAGGTGAGTCTTTTGAATATTTGCTTTGTTATTCATTATTAACACCTGTTCATGCTACCAATCAACTTTGGTGCATGATAATGCCACACATGTCAGTGCGGTGCCCCTGAGTGGACTTTTATAGAGTTCACTGGTGCTATTTTGCACACATGCAACTGTGATGTGTGCAGTAGCTACCAACACCATTTTGGCAAGGGTGGCTACTCTGGTAGCCCATCCCACTATTGTGCAAGAGAAGAGCATGAAGCTCACTTCAACAACTGTCATCACATACTGGAAGAGACATGTAACAATCTCGAGGATGCAGAGGCAAAGGCAAAGGCACAGGTTTCTGCACTGGAGAAGCAGGAGATCACTCTGACCATGCAGGCACAGGCATCTGCTATAACAGTAACAATGCCTGCTCCTGCCCCAATGCTCGCACTGGCTGCACCACCAGCCCAGCCCCTCCATATCAACCGCCTAGCATAGTGTCATACAAGGGGAAGGGCAAAGCGGGTGCTGAGCCCGAGCCCACAGCTGAGGAGACGGCCACCCCTACTCAAGTAGGGCTGTCATCCAAAATAATGAGACAGTGCCAGTAGGCAAGTTCTGGAACTCCATAGCGTCTCCTCCTGGGGACCACTATGCCGGGGACCTCAAGGAGGATGACAAATAGGACAAGTACTTCCAATGTGCTCTCCCCAGCCTCCATATTAGGGGTGGAATGTTCATCAAACACCTGGACAAGGGATGCGTGATCCTGTACCAGGGGTTGTGGGAGATGAAGCTTGCTGGGAGCCAAGGCTGCCCTTGAGCAGTGCCTGCCTCCCTTTGGGCGCATTTCCGTAGGGGAGAGGGAGTACACCATCAAAGAGATGGATAACATCTTCCATGCCGTGCAAAAGAAAGGTTCCTGGGCACAATATAAGCGGGCTAAAGCCCTTGTGGCCGAGGTACAAAAATATGCAAAATTGGGACAAATGCCCTACACGCACAAATGGGTGTTGGCCAACTGTAAAATGCCCAAGTGGATTAAGGACAAGGATTAACCCCAGCAAAAGGCAGCAAGCCTTAAAAATGCGTATCCGCTACCTTTGATTAGTCAGCTAGTGGACAATTTGGCTGGCGCCAGGATCCTAACAAAGATGGATCTCAGATGGGGATACAATAATGTACGAATCAAAGAAGAAGATGCTTGGAAGGCCGCGTTCACGTGCCACCGAGGATCTTTCGAACCCCTTGTTATGTTCTTTGGGTTGACCAATTCACCGGCGACCTTTCAGAGCATGATGAACAAGATCTTTGTGGATATGGAAAACTGTGTCGTCATTTACATTGACAATTTATTAATATTTACAAAGTCGGATGATGAGGCTGAGCATGACAAGATCATGCAAGAAGTTCTTCGCCGCTTACAGGAATGGGACCTATTCATCAAACCCAAAAAATGTAATTTTAAAGTGAAGGAAGTAGACTTCCTCGGTATGATCATAGGCCAGAACGGAATCAGGATGAACCCTGAGAAAGTTCAAGCTATTTTGGAATGGCCAGGACCTACTTGTGTCAAAGGAGTTAGGGCCTTTCTTGGCTTAGGCAATTTCTACCGAAGGTTTATTGAAAACTTCGCAAAAATCACGAGACCGTTGAACAATCTCACAAAAAAGGACATTGTCTGGCATTGGGGCGCCAAAGAACAAGAAGCTTTTGATAAGCTTAAACAGGCATTCACAACAGCGCCCATATTAGCATTTCCAGAATTAGATAAAGAGTTCCGGCTAGAAACCGACTCTTCTGATTTTGCTACTGGGGCTGTTCTATCAATCAAATGCCCTGACAATCTTTGGAGGCCTTGTGCCTATTTATTGCATAGTTTGTCGCCTACAGAGCGCAACTATCAAATTTACGACAAAGAGATGCTGGCCATCATTAGAGCTCTAGAGCACTGGCGGCACTACTTAGAAGGTGCTAGACACCAATTCAAAATTTGGACCGATCATAAAAACCTAGAGTACTTTATGACGGCCCGAGACTTGAACCAAAGACAGGCCCACTACGCGGTGTACTTGTCAAGGTTTAATTATAAATTAATTCATAAGCCTGGAAGCTCAATGGGGAAAGCAGATGCTTTATCCAGAAGAGAGGATCATCCCAACGGCATCAAAGATGACAACAAAGGTGTTACCTTGATAGATCAATCAAAGGTCGCCAATATTAGAATCGGGCAAGATTCCGATCTTGTAGAAGTCTTCAAGAAAGACATTTCCTCAGAAGAGAAGGCGCGCCTTGATGGCAATGAAAATTATTTATGGGAAGACGGGCTCTTCTATTTTAAAAGCAAAATTTATGTGCCTGAGTCCGCAAGAGTCAAGGCAATAGATAGACATCATGACACTCCAGTGGCTGGGCACCCTGGATGGCAACAAACAATGGAGTTGATCTCCAGAAATTACATGTGGCCTGGCATGGTCAAAGACGTACAGGAATACGTAAAATCCTGTCTAAGATGTGCCATGGCCAAGCACTCTCACCAACCGCCTGCCGGTAAACTCATGCTGAACCCGATACCAGCTGGACCCTGGCAGGATATATCGGTTGATTTCACGACGGATCTGCTCGAGTCAACGGGTATGACTCAGTAATGGTAGTAGTAGATTGCTTCTCCAAGGAAGTGGTTTTTATACCTACCAACAAAACCATTACCGCCGCCGGTACAGCAGATTTATTTAAAGATTTTGTATGGTCCATCCATGGGTTACCAGAGACGGTGATCTCCAATAGAGGACCGCAATTTGCTAGCAAATTTACGAAAGAATTATGCCGGATGCTGGGCATCAAACCTAAATTATCAACAGCATTCCATCCGCAAACTGATGGACAAATGGAGAGACTCAACCAGGAGTTGAAACAGTACCTCCGCATATTTATTAATGACAGGCAGACGGATTGGGCTAAGTGGCTGAAGATAGCCCAGTTCTCATACAATGTCAAACAGTTGTCGGCTACAGGAAAGGCACCATTCGAGGTTACTAGATCGTACCTCCCTAGAATGGGTGTAAAACCTGGCAAAAGCAAAAACGAGGCTGCTGGGAACATGGCAAAAGACATGAAATCTGTCTTAGATGAAACGCGCAAGGCGCTATTTAAAACTGCAGAGCAGATGAAAGACAGGGCAGAGCGTAGACGCTCTAAGGCCCCTGATTACAAGGTCGGTGACCTGGTCTGGTTAGACACCGACCATCTAAAATTAAAAGATCGGCAGTCCAGAAAACTGACCAAAAAATGGATTGGCCCTTACCGGATTAAGGAAGTCAAACCCAACGCAGTGGAGCTGGAACTCCCAAAACAAATGAGGGTAGTACCCACGGTCAATATTAGCCGTGTGAAACCCTACAAAGGACCGCTGCCTGGACAGCGTGTAGACCGGCCCGGACCGGTTGTAGTCACCCAGGAAGGTGAAGAAGATTTCAAGGTCAAATGAGTAGTAGACGCACGCTTGAAGCGTGGAAAATTAGAGTTCCTGGTCCTATAGAAGGGCTATGGAGACGAGGACAGAACGTGGGAACCAAAAACCCATCTGGAAAACTCCCGCGACACTGTTTGCGAATTTTATTCTAAGAATCCCTCAGCTCCCAGGAAGCTTAGAGGCATGGATTCAAAACTTTTTAATTCCCTTTTTCAACCTATGCCCGAAAATTTCACCATTACCTCCAACATTTGGTCTCGCCTGAAAGTCGAGCCTTAGAAGTGGGGTAGTGTTACGATAACACAATTTCCGGACATTTCCTTTCTTTTTATTCTCTGCTTCAACTCTATACTTTAAGTGCCATGCGGCATTTCCCCTTTCCCGCGCCGCGTTGCCTTTCTCTTATTTTTAGATTCAACTCTCTCACGCAGTGGAGCTGGCCATACGGGCTAGGCCCTATGACATCATCAGCCACTGCCTTCATCAACTGTATAGTACACATGTACAGACAAACCTGTAGTAGTATACCCCAATAGATCCAGAAGACTCCTCAGCGAGTCCTCCTGTTGTATACCAACTAACTCACTGCAGCCTAAGGGGTGACCACTCCCCAACTTCATCTTCTTTATAGTGTGTTCTGAGTGCGCCAGAGTAAATCACTCTTGGTTGTTACAGGGATATGAAAGGCAAAGAATCCCTAGACCAATTCCAGTCTATAATGTTGACGGCACTCTTAACCGAGACGGCAGTATTAAAGAATTCGTAGAACTATTAGTGGAGATTAATAACCACGCCAAAAGACTCCAACTGGCGGTTACCAACCTTGGAACTGATAGGATGTTTTTAGGCCACGAATGGTTAAAAAAGCACAATCCCACAATAGACTGGAACTCGTCAAAATTAGACTTCAACAGATGTCCATCAGACTGCAACATGATGGTAAGATTTTTCGATCCTGAAGAAGATTTTGAGACGTATTGCCCTGAGGTCAATCTTAAGGAGGGGGATACAATCATCCAATTCAATTTTTTTCTTAAATGTCAAAGACACATCCATTCCTGACGTAATGCATCATATCCGCGCTCACGGCACAACAGCCCAACAACTTGCTAAAGCAGCAGGAAAAGATCAAAAAACAGGAGGCTTTGAAGGAATAGTACCAAAACACCTTCATGACTTTAAAGATGTCTTTGATAAAAAGGAATTCAACGCCCTTCCTGAGAGAAGACAATGGGACCACGTGATTGAGCTGATACCAGGTGATCACACGATAGACTGTAAAGTTTATCCTTTAGCATTAGGAGAACAAGAACAGTTAGATGCATTCCTAAAAGAGAACTTAGACTCAGGATGCATCAGACCCAGTAAATCTCCAATTGCTTCTCCTTTCTTCTTTATCAAAAAGAAAGACGGTAAACTCCGACCCGTACAAGATTATTGAAAGTTAAACAAAATCACCATCAAAAACAGATATCCACTACCTCTGATTAATGAACTTGTAGACAAGCTCAGAGGCGCCAAATACTTCATAAAACTGGATATCAGATGGGGATACAATAACATTTGAACCAAGGAAGGAGACGAACACAAAGCTGCTTTCAAAACCAATCGTGGCTTGTTCAAACCGTTAGTTATGTACTTCAAATTCTTAGAGAACATCACCTATATCTAAAACCGGAAAAATGTGATTTTGAAGAAACAGAAACAGAATATCTGGGACTAATTATCTCGGAAAACAAAATCCGCATGGACCCGGTGAAAGTGAAAGGAATTCTAGATTGGCCGGAATGTACAACAAAGAAACAAGTACAAGCCTTTTTAGGATTTGTAAACTTCTATAGGAGATTTATTGAAGGATTTGGATTAATAGCAAAACCGCTTACTAAACTAACCGGTAAAGAAGAGTTTGTATGGGGTAAAGAACAAAAAGAAGCATTTGAAGAGATTAAAAAGAGAATCAGTTCAACCCCCGTATTAGCACTCCCGACCAATAATGGTCAATACCGAGTAGAAGCGGATAGTAGCAATTATATTCTAGGAGCTGTTACGCACGAAGTGCTTAACAAAGTCTGAGGATTTGTCGAGGTTTTATAAAGAGACTTATCTGAAGACAAGTTCGAGAGCGTAGTTCTGAGTGGAGGTTTTCCAATGAGAGTTGGTCTTCTTCTGAGTAGAAGTCTGATCTTGGGAGTCTAGCTTTGTAAGCGTAAACTGCGTAGAATCGTATTAGAGAATACTAATGCTTGTTACATGGTATTTATAATGAAAAGGAATTGGTGATAGGAGTTAGGTCCTATCTAGGGCAGGTCCGTCTGTTGAGGACTAAGTACTATAATAGGTACTGTGAATGCAAGAGGAACGGAAGTGTACGTGAAGGAAATGAGTCATCGGTCTGATGGTATAACCGATGAGTAAAAAGAAATGAGTAGTCCTTAAATGTCCAATAGAGATCGTAACATTACCCCCTTACTTGCTCCGAGTTTCACCAAAATTCGGTACCTTCGCCGTCCATATTGTAACTGTCATTGTAGCTGACATCTCCATGTAATCCTTCCATCAGGATCCTATCCTCGTCTTCCCTGCGCATGGGACACCAATTGAAACTATGTCCCGGTGCACGACGGTCACAGTCGGGACAATAGTAGGCTTCGCAATAGTATGTGCAATGATCACTCCAACCGCAGTTTTGGCAGTATGGAGCGTTGTTACGAACACCTTTGTGGTATCTTTGTTGGGTATTAGAAGAGGTGTCGGATTGGGGAGTGGTTGGATCATCATCTCCCAGGTCGTACGTTCCTGCATACAACTGATCAATCATGGCTGTGTCGTTGTCTACATTGATTGGGTTAGAGGGAGAGCCAGTTTCAGGCCTGTGCATTGCGCCAGGCGGACTGTCTTTCTTTCCCTTTGACATACAAGACTGCCGCTTCGATGGAGTTCTGGTGGTGGGGATCTGGAGTATCACCTCTTGCCGGCCGTGTCAGGCTCCTCGTTGGTTTGTCAGGCTCCGGGTTTGGGCGTTTGGCACTGGTTGAGGTGGAGATGATGGGGGAGATGGTGGTTTTGGGTTCGACCCAATGGAACGGGGACTGGAGTGGCTCGACTCTTGTGAGATCAGGCTGGTTGGGACGGTGGGAATATATTTTTCCTCCGACGGGATGGGTGGAGGTTGATGGGTGACAATGTGGTAAGTGCGCTCCGGGGTAACACTGGTCTGGTCTGGGTGCGACGGGGACCGGAGGGACAAACCGGGCGGAGGAGTACTCGTACAACCATCTCACTCTATCCGCGTGCGAGCTTTGTTTAGCAATGTCCTCCCGTCTGATTCCAAATATTCCTTTGCCAAGTCCATCTGCCCATTCAAGGAGCTCATCCTCAAGTGTTGTTCCAAAGACTCCAAAACTAACTTTTTCATCCAGAGTGCCCGACAGATACTCGAGTCCTGACTGTTGAGCTGCGAATGCTCACTTTCCAACGAATGTATTGAGTCTATGGCTTTTAGGAGTTCGTCAGCTACGAGGTCTATGGCAAGGAAGGTATGCATGGAAGAAAGAGCGTAATACGCATGGGGGCAGCGTTTTTCGGTCTCGTAAAAGAGATAGGTATAGATGACTTTTGCTGACATTAGCTCTATGGTATCAGTGACGTTGGCTTGGTTGTGTCGTTGCCCATGGGCAAAAGACACTCGTTCGTTGGCTAGCAGGTCGGCGTCGCTGGGTATCGAGTAGGTGGTGATAGGGAAGCCGGTGGAGTTAGAAGTGGACATGTTTTTGTGTTGAGAGACAGAGGCTTGTTGGAAGTGGGGTGATTGTCTCTTCAACGCAGCTTGTGGTCCTTCTTATAGGCTTCCAGTATCTCCACAGCATTGGTTAAGTGTTCTTCTGGTGTCGATGATGAGAATTGCTGTTAGAAAACCACACACAAAACAAACTAACACACAATCCTCCCAGATTCCACGGAACTTGTTTATGGGCTTTGCCTCCTAGAACAGTGGAGTGGTCTGGTTGTTCGTGGGGTGGTACGTATAAAGATCCTTCAAAGTAAAACCCAGAGATGTATGGGTGTGGGTTTTGAGGAGGAGGGATAGTTGGAATACAGAAAGATAGGGGGCTTTGTGGTGAGTATAGACAAGCACTGCCTTGCTAATTGTAGCACAAGGTAGGTTTGAGAACGACAAGGGTGACGAGGTGACGAGGTTCCCAGTGATAGCAGGCTCCTGATGCACAGACTGTAGTGCTCAGAAGAACTCTAATTGAAAGGGATGACAATGACTTGTTGGAAGTGACGGTGACAGCAATTAACAGTGGTAGCAGTGGGAAGTGTTGTGACCACACTGGATCACAAGTAGAAGAGTAGTGAACTTGAGATTAGAGAAGAAGTCTGGATTGGAGTTCTTTGTTGTTTTTACAAGGTAAAATACAGGGGTTTATATAGTGAAAAGAAAAGTAGGCTATACACAGTATAGCTGCGCAAAAAGAATGAGAAAGAACATGAAGGAAGGAATGTACGCTATCAAATCCTGCGTAGTTGCTACAGGATAAGATCATCAAAATAAGGGAAAGAAAGGGATAGAACAATGAATGCTGTGAGTAATGTCACAGGTTTGTACAGCCATAAAGTAAAGTCCAATAGCAAAAAGAGAGCAAGAAAATCATGATGTCATGGGAAGATGCAGTAAAAAAAGGGCAAGGCAAAACACTATCAGTATCAACACAGTTCCTTTATTGTCAGTCAGGCATTCTAAAAAAATATGTGTCCATAAAAATGATTCAAAAATCAAAAATAATTGCACTGTAAATGAATGTTCTGCTGAAGAAAAAGAAACTGGAGCCACCGGTCCACCACCTAGTCCAAATCCGACAGTTCCATGGCCTTACCAATGGACTGGTTGTGTTGGACCACCTGATCAAATGAGGGAGGGAGAGGAGTAGTTCCAATTTGGAACAAGTGAGTCCCAGGCAGCGTGTGGTAGGTGTAGCTGTAGTGAAGACAATGGACAAAAGATAAGTGTACCCAAGTAAATGGGACAGCAATGAACATGGGCAACGCAAGGGGATAAACCTTCTCTAGCTCAAAAACTACCCACCCACGCTCCAACCAGGCAAGACGAGCGACCGATGTTTTGATAGTATATGATGGCAGATCGACGTCATGAAGATGGACCTGTTGCCCTATTTGGACTGGCCGCCGGGGCTTTGCTGATATCAGCAGTGGCACGTGGTAGTCAACGGATTGGCGACGGAAGCAGATAGGAAGTGGTGACATCAGAAATGGTGGGGGTGCAAATAATATGAGGAGGAGGAGGGTGGAGGTGACAAAAAAGTGGATTAGAATGGGGATCCAGAAACAACCATCAGGTGAGAATAAAAAGGAGAGGAAGGGGCCCATGGTGGGGCTAGGCAAAGGAAGGGGAGTAAGGGAAACGACAAAAGCGAGGGCGCAATGCAATGTGTAGCCAGTGGCGACGCAAAAATTTGCCGAAATGCCGAAACATGGAAAGTACCGGATGGAAAAGCAAAGGTGAGCATGACTAGATTGCCTGATAGAGGTGGTGCTGATCAGCCACAAGTTCAAAACAGGCAATATTAATTACTATTCCACGTGGTACTGTGCCTGTGTGGCGCAAAGGCAAGTCTTTTTGAACATTCGCTTCGTTATTGACACCTGTCCATGCTACCAATCAATTTTGGTGCATGACACCGGTTCCCATGAGTTTTTGGGATGAGGGTAATGGCGCCATTTAATCAGGTAGCGGCGCCTGCATTTCCAGGGTTTGTGTCTAAGAATACTTTCTACTTCGTATTCCTCTTCTTTGTTAATCAGGTCAGGTGGTGGTCGGATAAAGTTTGGGCCGTGAGTGTTGGTTTCCGTATACGGCGTGAGAAGGGATGCATGGAAAACATTGTGTATCCTCCAATGGGGAGGCAGTGATAGTCGGTAGTTCATCGGGGAAATCTTTTCTTGGATGCAGAAAGGTCCGATGCATTTCATGTTGAACTTCTTGTATTCGGTAGCTTTTTCTCGTAGGTTGGTGTTCTCTAACCTCACCTTTTGTCCTTAGGAGAATCGTGTGAACTTTCCATTGTTTTGTTTCATCATTTTGCTTCTCGCAAGTTCGTGTGCTTTTAGGGTGTTTTCCCTTGCTCTAAGCAGTTCGCATAATCATTTTTCCACTGATGGGATATTCGTGGATCTGTGTTTAGTCGGGATTCCTCGGGGTTCATATCCCATGAGGAGGTAAAATGGTGATTGGTTGTTTGTGGAGGTAGATCTCCAGTTCTTGATTGGATCTTTCTGTTTGTCCATCCGTCTGAGGATGATACGCCAAGGAGAGTGCGGTTTCAATATTCAGGAGTTTGTGGAGTTCTTTGGATACTTCAGAGGCAAACTGTGGTCCCCTGTCGGATATGAGTTTATCATGTAATCTGAATCGTTTGAAGATGGAATTGTGAAAGATTCGTGCGGTTTTGAGTGCGTCGATGGTTTTATGACAAGGTGAGAGGATTACCCCCTTACTAAGTCCTTGGTCTACGTCTACCATGACCATTATACTGTCGTATCCTAAAGATTCTGGGAAATCGGTTATGAAGTCTACAGATAGGTACTTCATCGGTTCGGTGGTCTTTGGGGTCTGGTTTGGGATTAATGGTACAGTGGTGGGATGCATGTTCACTTTCGCTTGTTGACAGGTTGCGCATCCTTTCACGTATTCTTCCACTTGTTCCATCATTCCTGGCCACCAATAGGCCTTTTTGATCAACTGGTAGGTTTTGAGCCTTCCTGGGTGTCTGCGGACCAGGGAATCGTGGTGATCTATGATGATCGTCTTTTGTTCTTCTACTTCATCAATCAGTAATTTATTCCAATAAAAGAACTGTCCTTCTTTTCTCCAATCATCTTTCTTCGTTCTTCCTGGATAATTATTGTTCATGAGCATGGCTTGCTCGACTGTGTTTTTAATTGTTCGTGTGTGGTACAGGAACGCCGAGGTGGGTATCATTGGTGTGTCATTGTCATCTCCTTCTGTTTTGACATATAAATCAGGTCTTCTTGAGAGTGCGTCGGGTACCACCATGTGGGTTCCTGGTACGTGCTCCAAGGTGTAATTGTATTGTGACAGTTCCAGCTGCCATCTTCTTTGTCGTGGTGTGAGTTTCTTGGCTTCTTGCCAGTACGTCAAATTCTTGTGATCTGTAAGAATTTGGATTGTGTGGGGGTTTCCCAAAAGTAAGTGTTTCTATTCTTTTAAAGCTCTCATTACCGCTAGTAATTCTTTGTTGTAGATCTGGTAGTTCTTTTCAGCGGGGGATAGAGTTTTGGAGAAAAATGCACATGGGTGCCATTATCCTTGGTCATTGGGTTGCATTAATACAGCTCCTGTGGCGTGTTTGCTGGCATCCGCAGCAATTTTTGACGGTTTCGAGGAGTCGGGTATTTGTGTCACAGGGGATTCAAGGAATTTTTGTTTCATCAATTTGAAAGTGTCGTCTTCAGTTTGGGTGCAGTTCCACTTCTTATCCTTTTCTAGTAAGGCATTTAAGGGTCTGGCAAGGTCAGAGTAATGACCGATAAACTTCCTGTAGAAGTTTCCATAACCTAAAAACTTCCTCACGCCTTTGGTGTCTTTCAGGATTGGCCAATCGTGGATTCCAGCAAGTTTGGCTGGATCCATTGATACCTGATTGTGGGAAACAATTATTCCCAAGTATTCAATGGTTTTGGCTTTGAAGGTGCATTTTTCTAGTTTCAGGAATAGATCATTATTGCGTAATCTTTGTAGAACCTGTTTCGTTCGAAGTTGGAGTCTTTCGATGTTGGTATCAAAGATGAGAATGTCGTCCATATATATGATCATCCAACCTTCGTCGATGTAGTCTTTGAATTTGTTGTTCATCAGCCTTTGGAATGTTGCTGGTGAATTGCACATGCCGAAGAACATGACCGTAGGTTTGAACACTCCTTTGCTGGTTTTAAACGCAGCTTTCTATTCGTCTCCTTCTTTTATCCTTACATTGTTGTATCCCCAATGTAGATCTAGTTTTGTAAAGATAGTGGCTCCTTTTAATTTTTCGATGAGGTCGGGTATCAGGGGTAGTGAATAGGGGTCTTTCACGGTATATGCGTTCAGTTTTCTGTAATCCTGGCACGGTCAGAGTGATCCATCCTTTTTGCCAATGAAGAAGAAGGGGGATACCTGTGGTGACTTGCTCGGTCTGATGTATCCCTTTCTGTAGTTTTCCATTAAAAATTCCGTTAATGCTTCGTCCTCCTTTGGTGCCAATGGGTACAATTTGCAATCTGTTGGTACAAATTCTGGTTTCATATTGATTGCATGATCGTATTCCCGTCGCTTGGGGAGTCTTTCCGACTTCTTTTTGTCAAAGACGTCCAAATACCCTTTGTATTCATCCGGGAGGTTATGCTCCTTCTTTTCTCCATGAATTTGTGCGTGTTCCATTGCCGAGTTGACCTTCAATCAAATTGTGGTTTGAGGATAGGGTGTTTAGTCGGATACATATCTATGAATGGTTTCGTATACGTCCTCATTTACCGTGGTTGTCCTGATTTTTGTTTCCGTGGTTGTTTGGTTCATCCTGATGGAGTGTTTGTCCGAGTTTGGTAATTCCTTGTCTTTCCAGTTAATGACAGGATTGACTTTTCATAACCAGGGGAATCCCAGTAATACGTCTTCTCCGTCCAGTCCGGTCAATAGGAACTTTGTGAGCCTGTTTTGTCCTCCTGCATCTATCCTCTGATAGGTGCAATGTGTAATTTTTCCGTTCTTGTTTGTGGTTCCGTCAACATTTTTACACGTTATGGGAGTTGGGAGTTTTTGGAGGGGGAGTCGGTGTCTGATGGCGAATTTGGTGTCCATGAAGTCATCTGTAGCTCCTGAATCTATCAGGGCTTTGGTTCCGATGGTTTTCTGTTTCAACAAGCAATCAATTTGTAAAGAGTTGGCATTGATTGTTGCTATTGTTACAGTTGCCATTTTCGATGGTACTAACATTGGGGTAGTCCGTTGTTTCAAAAACCCTTGTCTTCTAATTCTTTCATCGCCTCTGTTCTTTGATCTTCTCCTAACTCCCTCCACATCCTCATGATATTTTGGACCCTGTCTTCTTCCACCACTGTTTTGGTGTCATCTTCCGTTTCAGTTTGACATACCTTTCTTTCGGGAGTTTTTCCCTTGTTTCTACAATTCCTTCCTATGTGTCCTTTCTCGTTACATATGAAGCACCTTCCCTCTTTCCTTCTCGAGTCTTCTTTGTCCTTGGTTAATCTTTGATGTTTGCTGTTCTGAAACTGGCTATAAAGGTTTTCATAAAGTCTGCCCATGTGGGATAGGCATTTTTCTCTTTGTATTTGGTCATCTTGGCTTCGCTCCATGAGGCAGCATTGCCGTCCTTCATGTAGCTGAGGGCCACATATACCTTTTTCTTGTCGGAGTTGTAGATGGTGTCGTTGATATCAAAGTGTAGATCGGTGGACGATATCCACCTTTGGGCTCTATCTGGGGTTCCATCAAAGTCATCAATTTTCCCAATTATCGTGGGTTTGGGGGTTGCAGCGTTAGACATGGTGTGTGGTTGTGGGATGTGGGATGGAGCAGGTGCGGCAGGGAGTATCTGTGGAGTGGGAGGTGGTATCGGGTTGCCGCCTGCTGCAAACTCTTCAAAATTGTTCTCGTCGTAGAGGTTTTCTATGGTTACTGGGGGATTGTGTTGTGTTGTGGGCAGTAGCTGTGGGTGGCTTCCTGCATAGTACTGTAGCCAACGTGTTCTGGCTTCGTAGAAAGCGTCTGCTTGTTCTCTGGTGTAGAGTCGGGTTACGTCTGGTTGGGGAAAGGGAGGTGGTGCTGCTATTCTTTCTTGTCTGGACGACGTCGGTGGGGTTGCTGTTTGTGGGTTGTCTGAGCTTCCTCTTGCTCTCTGTGATCTGGTTGTTGGTTGTTGCGACGTTTTGTCGACTTTTTCTGCCCAAACCTAAATAGGTGGGACTTCTGGTTAGGAATACAATTCTTTTGTTACGCACGAAGTGCTTAACAAAGTCTGAGGGTTTGTCGAGGTTTTATAAAGAGACTTATCCAAAGACAAGTTTGAGAGCGTAGTTCTGAGTGGAGGTTTTCCAACAAGAGTTGGTCTTCTTCTGAGTAGAAGTCTGATCTTAGGAGTCTAGCTTTGTAAGCGTAAACTGTGTAGAATTATATTAGAGAATACTACTGCTTGTTACATGGTATTTATAATGAAAAGGAATTGGTGATAGGAGTTAGGTCCTATCTAGGGCAGGTCCGTCTGTTGAGGACTAAGTACTATAATAGGTACTGTGAATGCAAGAGGAACGGAAGTGTACGTGAAGGAAATGAGTCGTCGGTCCGATGGTATAACCAATGAGTAAAAAGAAATGAGTAATCCTTAAATGTCCAATAGAGATCGTAACAGGAGCAGTACTCTCTCAAGGATAGAATGGAGTCTGGAAACCAATTGCTTATTTGTCAAAATCTCTAAACCCAACCGAAAGAAACTATGAGATATATGACAAAGAACTATTGGCTATTATGACAGCTTTAGAGGAATGGCGCCACTACTTGATGGATGCTACAAAAGAGTTCGAGATCTGGACAGATCATCAGAACCTGACATACTTTAAACAACCCCAGAAGCTCAATAGATGGCAAGCAAAATGGGTTAGCAAATTGGCCAATTATCATTTCACGTTGCACCATAAACCAGGAGCTACTCATATCAAAGCCGATTTACTCTCCAGACGACCAGACCATGATGAGGGAAAAAATGACAACAAAGACGTTACCCTATTGAAACCAGAACTATTCTCTATCAATATGACTCTATCACACAAAAAAAGGCAACAGATAGCAATTAATGATGCCAAAAATGTAGAGATCACAAAATGGATTCATAGAAGGATGAAAAATGTTGACGAACTCATTAAAAAGGTCATGGACAAAGTAGACAACTGCCAAGACAGTGTCAATGATGAGAACCGTTGTTAGAAAACCACACACAGAAACAAACTAACAAACAATCCTCCCAGATTCCACGGAACTTGTTTATGGGCTTTGCCTCCTAGAAAAGTGGGTTCTCTGGTTGTTTGTGGGGTGGTGTGTATGAAGATCCTTCAAAGTAAAACCCAGAGATGTATGGGTGTGGGTTTTGAGGAGGAGGGATAGTTGGAATATAGAAAGATAGGGGGCTTTGTGGTGAGTATAGACAAGCACTACCTTGCTAATTGTAGCACAAGGTAGGTTTGAGAACGACAAGGGTGACGAGGTGACGAGGTTCCCAGTGATAGCAGGCTCCTGATGCACAGACTGTAGTGCTCAAAAGGACTCTAATCGAAAGGGATTATAATGACTTCAAAAGTGGGAAGTGACGGTGACAGCAACTAACAGTGGTAGCAGTGGGAAGTGTTGTGACCACACTGGAGTACAAGTAGCAGTAAGAAGTGGACTTAAGATTAGAGAAGAAGTCTGGAATCAAGTGCTTTGTTGTTTTTTTACAAGGTAAAATACAGGGGTTTATATAGTGAAAAGAAAGGTAGGCTATACACAGTATAGCTACGCAAAAAGAATGAGAAAGAACATGAAGGAAGGAATGTACGCTGACAAATCCTGCGTAGATAGTACAGGATAAGATTGTCAAAAAAGGAAAAAAAAAAGGATAGAACAATGAATGCTGTGAGTAATGTCACAGGTTTGTACAGCCATAAAGTAAAGTCCAATAGCAAAAAGAGAGCAAGAAAATCATGATGTCATGGGAAGATGCAGTAAAAAAAGGGCAAGGCAAAACACTATCAGTATCAACACAGTTCCTTTATTGTCAGTCAGGCATTCTAAAAAAATATGTGTCCATAAAAATGATTCAAAAATCAAAAATCATTGCACTGTAAATGAATGTTCTGCTGAAGAAAAAGAAACTGAAGCCACTGGTCCACCACCTAGTCCAAATCCAACAGTTCCATGGCCTTACCAATAGGCTGGTTGTGTTGGACCACCTGATCAAATGAGGGAGGGAGAGGAGGAGTAGTTCCAATTTGGAACAAGTGAGTCCCAGGCAGCGTGTGGTAGGTGTAGCTGTAGCGAAGACGATGGACAAAAGACAAATGTACCCAAGTAAATGGGACAGCAATGAACATGGGCAACGCAAGGGGATAAACCTTCTCTAGCTCAAAAACTACCCACCCACGCTCCAACCAGGCAAGACGAGCGACCGATGTTTTGATAGTATATGATGGCAGATCGACGTCATGAAGATGGACCTGTTGCCCTATTTGGACTGGCCGCCGGGGCTTTGCTGATATCAGCAGTGGCACGTGGTAGTCAACGGATTGGCGACGGAAGCAGATAGGAAGTGGTGACATCAGAAATGGTGGGGGTGCAAATAATATGAGGAGGAGGAGGGTGGAGGTGATGAAAAAGTGGAATAGAATGGGGATCCAGAAACAACCATCAGGTGAGAATAAAAAGGAGAGGAAGGGGCCCATGGTGGGGCTAGGCAAAGGAAGGGGAGTAAGGGAAACGACAAAAGTGAGGGCGCAATGCAATGTGTAGCCAGTGGCAATGCAAAAATTTGCCAAAATGCCGAAACACGGAAAGTACCGGATGGAAAAGCAAAAGTGAGCGTGACTGGATTGCCTAATAGAGGTGGTGCTGATCAGCCATAAGTTCGAAAAAGGCAATATTAATTACTATTCCATGTGGTACTGTGCCTGTGTGGCGCAAAGGCGAGTCTTTTCGAATACTCGCTTTGTTATTGACACCTGTCCATGCTACCAATCAATTTTGGTGCATGACAACGGCTGGTGGACCGATGAAGGACTCATTTACTTCAAAGGTCGTATGTATGTCCCAAAAGACCAAAAACTCAGAGAAACAATTATAAGAGACAACCACGATTCCCCAATAGCTGGTCACCCAGGCCGGTATAAAACAAAGGAATAAATTACCCGATCATATTGGTGGCCATACATGGATAAAGACATCCAAGAATACATAACCGGTTGCAAAATGTGTCAACGCACAAAAACAGATCATCAGAAAAAAGTAGCACCGTTACATCCGAATGAGATCCCAAGCCGCCCCTGGCAAATCATATCAACGGATCTTATCGGACCGCTACCAGAATCCAAAGGGTATAATACTATTATGGTGGTCGTAGATCAACTCTCCAAAATGATTAGGATCATGCCTACTCATGCCGAGTTAAACTCAGAAGGAGTAGCAAGATTATTCAGAGACAACATTTTCAAACTCCATGGATTACCCGATAAGATCATATTGGACCGAGGAGTACAGTTCGTCTCAAACTTCATGAAGGATCTCTATACAATGCTATGTATAAAAGGAAACCCATCCACTGTTTATCACCCACAAACCAATGGCCAAACAGAAAGAATCAATCAAGAGATAGAACAATATCTCAGAATCTTTGTTAACCATAAGCAAGATGATTGGGCAGACTGGCTACCATTAGCAGAGTTCTCCTATAATAATAAAGAACACTCAGCTAGTGGCTTTAGTCCTTTTTATTTAAACAACGGGCAACACCCAAAAATAGTAGAAAAGAGTGAAAGTGCGGAAGAATTTGTAGAGAGGATGAAAGAAACGAGAGAAGAAGCAGAGAAATCTCTGGCAAAGGCAGCCGAGATTATGAAGAAATCATACGATAAGACAAAAAAGGAAAGTCTTGAGTATGAACCAGGAGACAAGGTTTACGTAGAAGCTGAACATATCACAACTGATCAGCCATCAAAGAAATTGGATGACAAACAACACGGACCATTTGTAGTCGAAAAAAAACCAGTCCGGCAGCCTACAAATTAAAGCTGCCCGGAAGATGGAAAAATGTATACCCGGTATTCAATGAAAAAATCCTACATCCTTATAAAGAACCAACTTTTTTGGGACAACAAAAACCCAAACCTCCACCTCCTGCAGAAGTAAACAGACAAAGAGAATACGAAGTAGAAAAAATACTTGACTCATGATTGAAACGTGACAAGTTAGAATATTTGGTACATTGGAAAGGATACGGAAAAGAAGAACGAACATGGGAGCCTGAGCAAAATGTCAAAAACTCGCCAGAATTAGTCAAAGATTTCCACAATCATTTCCCATCCGCTCCACGCCGAATAAATATCTCACTTCATTACAAAACATTCGACAACTTTACTGAACCATCTCACAATCGTAAAATATTCAATTGGGAAAATGGCAAATTGGAACCAACCTTTCGGGACAAAAGTCCTAAAGGGGGGTTAATGTCACGATCCCTCTCTCTCACACCTGACACTTCACCTTTTCTCTCAAACTCAGACGTCGAGACTCTTATCTCTCCTTATCTTATCACATAGTTTTTTCCTTTATCTATATCTTATCTCATTACGTGACTTTAAGTCATGTGATTACTTACAAATCATCTTACCAAGCTACATGCTACATCCTCATGTCTATCAGTCAGCGCCTCATGGCTGACATGAGTTCTTACATATATAAGTAGACACTCAACGATGTACATACCTTAGCTTTTGATTTAGTCTTTATACGACCTGTTCAACTACCTGCTTGCGATTGACATTGAGTTTGCCTGGTTTCTTCCAGTAGTGCAGCTCAGTTGTTATAAAAATATACTGGCAATGCATTCAAAAATCAACTCCGAGGAGATGGTGTCATCCAAGAAACTACAGCTGCAGATACTCCGGAACAAAATGGCATTGCAGAACACATGAATCAGACATTGGCTATATTAGCAACCACTATGCTCCATGATTCCAAGCTCCCAAAGTCATTTTGGGTAGATGTCATGCAAACAGCTGCATATATCACAGCATGCAGCCCAGCATTAGGACTCCATGGAAAGACCCCATATGAAATACTGTTTAAAAGGAGAGTTGATCCAACTTTGTTTCGCCCTTTCAGATGCCAAGTATATGCCTTGATTCCAAAAGACAAAAGGCAAGGGAAGTTTTACTCCAAGGGGCACAAAGCCATAATGATTGGCTACACACATGGAAAGCAAGCCTACAAACTCCTAGACACTGAAAAACAAACTGTGTTTTCCAGTTGGCATGTTATATTCAATGAATCTGGAAAGGTATAAAAGGATGACACTGCTCCCTGGAACACAAACACTAGCACAGATCAGTGGGAGGGACTCATTCCAGAGAATGCTCACTATCCAGACCAAAAAACATTGGAAGAGGATGATCCTGACCCTCGGATCCGAGATCCAAATGAATGGCAAATGGAACCACATTTCCAAGGAGATGTTCCACAAGCAATGGAACCATATTAGCATGAAGGTATTCCAAGAGCAGTGGGGCAATACCTCTGTGGAGACGTTCCGAGAGCAGTGGGAGCACCTGATCAGCTAAGACACCCTCCACAACAGTCTTTACAACCAAGACCTGAACACTGGCCATCTTCAGAACGGAAACCCAAAGTAGAGTCACAGTCAGTGGGAGGACAGCCCCTCAACATACAGCCAGCTGATGTGGAAAAAGTCCGAATACAGCTAGACAGCCTGTTCATTGGATTAGCTTCTGGAAGGCATACAACACCTCTGAGGAGTTATTCAACGCCTCCGAGGAGTGATTCAACACCTTCAGGAGTGAGTGGGGCAACAAATACACAAATGCGTTTACTCCCTGGAGTATCTTCCAAGGACACTAAAAGAAGCCTTATCACGTCCGGATGGAGAATTATGGAAGTCTGCCTTGGAGGAGGAACTCCTAAGTCTCAATACTAATGCAGTATATAACACTGTTCCACTTCCAAAGGGAGTAAAACCCATTACATCAAAACCTGTGTTCCGGATCAAGTTTGATCAAAACGGAAACATTGAGAGATACAAACTCTGGATTGTTGCACAAGGTTTTACTCAAAGGGAGGGGATTGATTACCAGGAGATTTTTGCTCCGGTTGCAAACTTAGAGTCAATCCAAATTATTCTAGCCCTGGCAGCAAAGTATGACCTAGAACTTGATCAAATGGATATATCCACAGCTTATCTCAATGGAGAACTTGAAGAAGAACTGTACATGCTTCCTCCAGGGGGTGTTCCTATCCAACCTGGATACTGCTGGAGGTTGAAAAAATCCATCTACAGATTAAAACAAGCTGGTTATACATAGAACAAAACCTTTGACCGCAAGCTCCAGGAGCTCAGTTTCACAAGACTAAATGCAGGAACATGACCCTATGTATTTTGGGACAACAAACAAATATGCTTTGTTGTTGTCTATGTAGATGACCTCCTCCTAGGAGCTTCATCCCGAAAATTCATGGATATCACAAAAGCCAAACTCAAATCCATATTCAAAATGTGGGACCTTGGAGAAGCAAAATACATCCTCAGAATAGAAATCCAACGTGATCGTTCAAACAAAACAATATCCCTATTGCAATGCCAATACATTAACACAGTCCTGGAGCATACTAGAATGAAAAACTGCAAACCAGTATGGACACCAATAGCCCATGGATCAAAACTCCTTGCAAATGCTCCAGGGGAAGATATTATGCAACACAAGATGCATATTGAAGGATGTCAAGTGTCATACCTCTCAATTGTAGGCTCCCTCATGTATGCCATGCTCGGAACCCGCACAGACATTGCCTACATTGTTGGAATACTAAACAGGCATAGCTCAGCTCCAAGGAGCCATCACTGGGAAGCTGAAAAATGTGTCCTCCAATATCTGAAAGCAACCAGGGACATGGAAGTACAATATGATGGCACAGATGTCTCCATGGACATGGATTTCTATGGATATTCAGATGCAGATTGGTCTGGAGACCCAGACACGTCTCGATCAACATCAGGGTTTGTCTTTATCACCATCCAAAGAACAATCTCCTGGACAAGCAAAAGACAAAGCATGGTCGCTTTATCCTCCACAGAGTCAGAGTACATTGGATTGAGCAATGCTGGTCAACACCTTGCATGGCTTTGGACATTTTTTGAAGAAATTGGATATGCTCAAAATGGACCTACAACATTACACTGTGACAATCCAGCAGCTATCATTCTTACACAAGATCCACAGTTCCGTGCTCGCACAAAACACATTCAACGGAAATATCATTTTATCCAAGATGACTTAGTATCAAAGGAAGAGGCAGTAATCAGATACGTTCCTACAGGAGATATGGTTACAGACATTCTCACTAAACCCCTCACTCATGAAAAACACTGGAAATTCTCTAAAACTATGGGACTACGGTTGCACTCGAGTAGGAGTGACAAAACTGGATAAACCCGGTCTCTGCCGAAGCAGCCATTGTTCTCCATGGAGTAACCATTGTTCTCTTAGGAGCACAATTATACTCCTAGGAGTCATTATACTGTAGCAAGTAGCACCTCCGACTATAAGTAGTAGGGGGTTTAGTATAGGAATACCTCAGTCGTTTCTATAGCCTCTTGGGCAGCAGCTGAGGTATGTTACATTACATTTATTAGAGATCACCTTAAACTAACATCTATTGTAGTTTCACTTAGTGTTATTAGCACCATGGTTGGATGAAACACCTTGATCTGCGATGGCATTGGTTGAGAGATGTTGTTGACTCTGGGAAGATTGCTCCTACCTTTGTTCCCACTGCTGAAATGCCTGCAGACTTGTTGACCAAGGCTCTTGCCAAGCCTAAAGTAGAAGTGTTCAGGAAGATGATGGTAGATCAGGGGGGAGCTGATGCTTGGGAGGTGCAGCATCAGGGAGGAGTGTTACTTTGTGCTACCTATATATTTTCATTCCTTTCTCTATCTATTCTTCTATCATTCACTATTGATTGTGTTCTCTATTATTTCGTCTTTGTGGCTGCTTTGTTTACCTTTGTTTACAAAACTTCGGACAGTACTGCAGAGTCCAATGCTTCCTATTCTCTAGTTACTCACATTGGACTCTAGGTACTGTATACCTGTCATACTCTCTAATAATCCAGTTACTCACATTGGACTCTAGTTCCAGTCCCTGATTGCTCTCAGCAAGTGGCTAGACACTTCCTTCAAGCTTTGTTCTTAATAGCTGTCACACTCAGCGCACTGGCATTCCCTGATGCTAGTATCAGCCTCATATTCCTCCCGTTCTTTGCAATTCCTATCCAGTCAGGTGTGGGTGCTATTATAGCCTTGGATGCTATTGGTATATTGCGTGGTTGGAAGTAAGAGATTGTATTGCTACTGCTTTGATTTTGTTTTGCTGATCTCTGGCTCTGGTACATGATGTTTGATCATTGTGCGCATTTGAGCGGCGCGACTTTTGGGGTGTTGTACTATTTGTATGGACCACAATGGTGGGATTTTATGAGGATTATCCACGATCCTACGGAGGAAGAAAAAGAAAAGTCGGAAGCATAGATGGCCATTTTTCATTGTCAGTATCCTCTCTACTCAATACTATTAATTATTGTTAGGTACTACTACACGTGCACCACAAGAATATAAAGATGATTCAATGCATCACTATACTCTTGGATTATCTGCAAGTAACTACGTCAGATTAAAATGAGAAGTCTTACAGCTCGTTCAAGCTTTTAGCAGCCTATTCCATTGCACTTGTAATATCAAACCTGTGCGAGAACTAGAAGTCATGTTATCCCTCCCAACTGCACATTCTGTGAAAGTCCGGTGAAAAAGAGTGGGTGACAAATGTAATGCGATTTTGGGAGCTATGGTACAAAAGGTCTTGAAAGGATATAACAAACTACTTCAGCTGAGCCTCCAACTGCTCGAACTGATAATCATCATGCGCCTTGCTCATAACGGCGTGCGCACGAACCTCGGCATGCCACTTATTATTTTCATTGAGCGCGGCTGGGTATCTGTCCTCTCCTTCCTTCCCAGCCCAATCGAAATCAACGAGAAACCCTTGCTCCTTGGAAGAAACAACATTCGTGTCACGCAGGTCTCCGAACACAAACCTATTCTCGTGCAAGAGCTTTAGTGCCCCTTTAACATCCCTCAAGACAGCTTCGGGAACAGGTTTGGGCCTTGAACTGTTTCGCAGTCGCCAGATTGATGCACCGTCTTCGAGATGGTCCATGACGACCATAAAAAGGCCCCCGATGATTGGCTCGCACCAGTGGAGCTTTGGGGCCAGTTTGGCATCGGATAAGAGGCGGTGGGCTGCTTCACCGTATCGACTCGCAAACTTGACGACGACCTCGGTAGCACCATCAGGGGTAGCAGCGTCACCAAGGGTAGCCCGGTACAGCGCGGTGGTCCCAACTTCCAGGTCTGCCAAGCTGGTCGAAACGTGCTCGCCGGTTCGCAAGAGGACACCGTGGTAGGTCAGGCACGGCAATGCATTGCCAGAGACTGAGGTTGGGTCAGGGTAGATTGCCGCAATAGTTACGTGGTTGCCCTGAACTGCGCGGTAGTGCGCTGCCAGTGCCGCTCGACACGATGAAAGGCACCTGAAGATTCGAGCCGCATGGATGATGTTCTCGGACAAGTGAAATCCGGGGGTGATATTGAAGGCGACTAGCCTGGATGCGTAGATAGAACAACACAGACAGCCACACCAATCTCGATCCGATTTCCCGAGAGACCGAGAAGCAAGACAGGGAAATTGCAGGATCCTTGAAAGTGCGCAAGCTAGAAAGAACACTTCAACGGAGATACGAACGTGGATGCGTGCTGCCGCACCTGGGGGTCCGACACAATCTTGCTGTAGTCGGCAAGACTTTGAACAAAAGGATCTCCGCCAATACCAGGGGCATTTTTCAGCTTCAGGATTGTGACAGGGAACTCACCTTGCCACCAACTCGCATCAGGCTGGATGTTCCCCACCCGGTCAAGCCTTTCCTCCCACTGACCAGGCTCCCCGATTAAGTGGTCGACGTGCTGCCGAATGGCGTTCCGGCGACTGTCCTCATTGTGATAAGACATGATTGTACTGCTGAGGAAGCTAGACGCGTGGCTGACATCATGTTCGGTCACCTCGAGGTCGCCAAGCTCGGCGAGGGCCCGTTGTAGGTGCGCAAGTGGCGGGCTGAACATGGCGGCTGGGACTTGATCGAGGCACACAGGATGGCCATCGGCATTGAGGAACTTTGCCAATGCATCAGCGCTCCTTACAACTGCAGATGGGGAGGGGCTGGATGATAGTTTTGCGAACTGCTTGCCGAGCTCTGCAAAAATAATGAGGATTGAACAAGTGACAAGTGGGTGGACTCGTACTTTTCTTAATCTGTATCCGAGACCGCGCTTGAGGATCGTCAACAAAGTCAAGTAGCTCCTTGACTGAAACGGGGTGAGGGGGCTAGGGAGGGGTATGGAAACACATGAAAAAACGCACTCTCGGCATTGGCAACAATGATATGAAGAGTACCATTTGGCAGGGCTTCGGTGAACACGTCTTTAACGTTACGTAGAACACTGAGCTTGGCTGCCTCTGGCTGGATGCGAAGCCACTGAATGACACGGTCTGTCAGATCCACCTCGGGCTCTATCTTGACATCCGCCTATCCAGGGTCAGTCATTTGGCATCGTAGACTAGGTGGCAGACGCACCTTGTACAACACAAGGTCCCTCAGTGGGACATCATAGCTTTCCTCCTTGAGCTGCTTGTGGACCTCCCTCAACAGTGATTTGACTGTGTCATTGCCCTCGACGGTGACTTGCGTGATAAACGGTGGCTCCACCGGAAAGTAGCAGATGAGCTTGAGCTTCATGATGGGCATGGTTCACCTGTTTGGTTACGGCTGAATTCAGATCGATAGTAGTCTTCAGTCCCAGTCGGAAACGACACAATTTGTTAGTCTCCCCAGTCAGACCAAATTAATGATATGACAGTCGATATCAGTAACTAAGGTCTGATCCGAACTAAGAGTGGCATACAGGAGCCCCCATTCGGTGTCAATAACACGACTTCTTGAAATTTAAACCCGAGATCAGCAGAAACTCAACATAAACTCAGCAACTTGAAACCCAGCGAGCGCTAACTCAGAGCATCCTCAGACTTGCCTTTCGAAAGTCATTATCCAGGCAGGAGCCACATATGTATTTATCGAGGAATAAGGGTTTTGACAATATGAATGGTATCTAGCTTTTTTTTGAGTCTAGTTTATTTCTTAGCACAGTTTTGGGTCTTCTGTATATTGCTTCCTTATTATCATTATCATGCTACAGTACTTCACTGGTTTAGCCTTTGAAAGGCATACAATTTATAAAGAATAAGTAGTAGACTGCCCTTGCTGATATTTCATAGGGGCCATGTAAGTATGTACTCGAATTTTAGTGGACCCGTTCACCATTTGGATGATGCAAAGAGCCATCCATTTGAAAAGAAAGATAGTTATGGGAGAAATATCTTGAAAAAAGTATTTTTGTTTCCAAGCTTTTTTTCTAGATTTATCTCATGTATATATTTGGCTATGCACCCAGTGATTGCTGAAGAACATACACCTGTTACTAATAAAACTATGTAAAACTCAGCCGCTGCCCAAGAGGCTATAGAAACGACTGAGGTATTTCTATACTAAACCCCTTACTGTAACAACCAAGAGTGATCTACTCTGGCGCACACAGTATTAAGAACAAAGCTTGAAGGAAGTGTCTAGCCACTTGCTGAGAGCAATCAGGGACTGGAACTAGAGTCCAATGTGAGTAACTTTATTATTAGAGAGTATGACAGGTATACAGTACCTAGAGTCCAATGTGAGTAACTAGAGAATAGGAAGCATTGGACTCTGCAATACTGTCCGAAGTTTTGTAAACAAAGGTAAACAAAGCAGCCACAAAGGCAAAATAATAGAGAACACAATCAATAGTGAATGATAGAAGAATAGATAGAGAAAGGAATGAAAATATATAGGTAGCACAAAGGTGCAGAATCACCAAAACTAACACTCCCCCCTGATGCTGCACCTCCCAAGCATCAGCTCCCCCCTGATCTAATAAGTCCCATCATCTTCCTGAACACTTCCACTTTAGGCTTGGCAAGAGCCTTGGTCAACAAGTCTGCAGGCATTTCAGCAGTGGGAATAAAGGTAGGAGCAATCTGCCCAGAGTCAACAACATCTCTCAACCAATGCCATCGCAGATCAAGGTGTTTCATCCGACCATGGTGCTCAGGGTTCTTGGATACAGAGATGGCAGATTGGTTGTCAATATGAAGGGTGGAAGGAGAGGTGATAGGATAGCCCATTTCCTTCAACAAATTTCGCATCCAGCAAATCTCTTTGCCAGCCTCAACAGCAGCAATGTATTCTGCTTCAGTGGTGGACAGAGCAACAATGTTCTGAAGCTTGGAGCTCCAGGAGACAGCACCAGATGATCCCATCTTGACAATATAGGCACCAGTAGAACGACCAGAGTCCTTGTCACCACCATGATCAGCATCAGAGAAAGTGGTGAAGAGTTCAGTGGAATTGGGATCAGGACCAAGGACAAGGGAATGATCAAGGGTGCCTTGCAAGTAGCGGAACAAGTGCTTGACAGCGCTCCAGTGAGTAAGACCAGGATTAGAGTTATATCTGGCAAGGACTCCAACAGTGTAGGTAATGTCAGGACGAGTGGTAGTGGCCAGATACATCAGAGCACCAACAGCAGCAAGGTAGGGAATGTTCTTCATCAAAGCAGCATCACTGGATGTTTTGGGAGACATGTCCTTGGTGAGGCGCAAACCAGGATCCATGGGAGTGGACACAGGCTTGCAGTCCTTCATGCCAAAGCGCTCCAGAATGTCCAGAGTGTACTGATGTTGGGAGAGGGAGATGGTGCGATTACTTGGGTCTCTAGTGATGGAAATGCCAAGTAGGTAAGAAGTAGGGCCAAGATCACGAAGCTTAAAGTGCAGGGAGAGGTTCTTGACAGCTTGGTCAAGTGCAGAAGTAGAAGTGGATGCCAGTGTCATGTCATCAACAAAGACAGGGAGGATAATGCGCACATCAGCTCTGTTAAAGACATAGATGGCAGAGTCTGAATAAGTACGCTTGAATCCGAGTTTTTCAAGCACAGTGTGCATCTTCTGGTTCCACATTCTGCCTCCCTGCTTTGTCCCATAGATGGCCTTGTCCAACTGGCAAACAAGATTGCGAGGATCCTGATGGAATCCCTCTGGCTGATGCATGTAGACCTTGACATCCATGACTCCATTCAGGAATGCATGGGAAATGTCAATGGAGCGCAAATGGAGGTTGTGGATGGCTGCAATGGCAAGGACAACTCTGATGGATGATATGCGGACAGTAGGTGCAAATATTTCGAGGAAATCAAAGCCAGGGCGCTGGTTATAACCTTTGGCCACATATCTGGCCTTGTAGCGCTCAACAGTGCCATCTGAGTTGCGCTTGATCTTGAAGACCCACTTGCCACCAATAGCCTTGACTCCAGGAGGTAGTTCCACTAGTGACCAAGTACCATTGCGCTCATGAGCTTGAAGCTCTTCCATGGCTGCCTCTCTCCATTTATCTGCATCAGGACGCTTCATTGCATCTGCAAACAACCTAGGCTCAGCAGAGTCTCCAAAGTGTGCCACTTCATCATCAACTGCCTCAGAATCACTGTCATCACTCTCAATGGCAGGAGTAGGTTGTCTGTGTTGAAGCCACCATAGTCTAGGTGGTCTCCTAGCCCTTACAGGGCGTCTCAGTGCAATAGGCAAGTCAGGAGAAGGTGAGCGATGAGGAGGGTGATTTGGAAGCTCAGGAGGTTGATTCACAGGTGGTTTTGCATCAAGGTCCAAATGAGGCCCATTGTCAGGCAATGGCTGAGGCTGCTGAAGCGCAGCTGGTGGGCCCATATCTCCCCCTGGACCTGGTGCAGGGACATCCTCAATCAGGCCCAATGGCATGGATAGTGAAGGTGGAGTGGGAGGTGGAGGCGGGACATTGTTAGAAGGCCTCTTCAAGCCAGGGAAGTAGCGCTCATCAAAATCAGCTCTCTCAGAGATAACAGTGTGCTTGGTGGTAGGATTGTAGAATTTCCATCCCTTGTATCCCTCAGGGTAACCAATGAATACACATTTCTCCATATGAGAGCCAAAGACGCCTCTTTTGTCCTTTTGCACATGCACATAGGCAGTGCAGCCCCAAACGCGAAGGTGAGACATGTCAGGCTTGCGTCCATACCACAACTCAAATGGAGTGGCATGGGCCACTGCATCAGTGGGACACCTGTTCCAGACATGCACCAAAGCGGACAGACATTCACCCCAGAAGCTGTTAGGCAATGCAGACTCTGATAACATGGCAGTGATACGCTCAGTCAGAAGTCTGTTTGCTCGTTCTGCCACACCATTTTGCTGAGGACGATTCCTGGTGGTATGCTGTCTGACAATCCCATGGTCATCTGTAAATTGCTCAAATTCCTTGGACATGTACTCTCCCCCTTTGTCATCGCGCAAAGCCTTGATTTTACGCTCCAATTGAGTCTCAGCATAAGCCTTGAATCTCTTGAAAGCATCAAAGACATCTGACTTGGCCTTGAGAGGCACAACAACACGGAATCAACTGTGATCATCAATGAAGGTGACCCAGTAGCGATAACCAGAGAATGTGGGGGAAGAGACTTGGTGTACATCAGAATGGATGAGGTCCAAAGGATGAGCAGAGCGAGTATCAGATGAGGGGAATGGATTGGCATGCATCTTGCCAGACAAGCACAGTTCACAGACAGGATCAGGAGCAGCCTTGGATTCCAGTGTAAGCCCAGTGACCAGATCTCTCTGTATCAGTCTCTTGACATCAGCATGATGGTGGTGAGCCAATCTGCGATGCCAGAGCATCAAATCAAGTGGTATAGTCGCAGTAAAATGTCCCAATTCAACACAAGCAGCAGTAGATCCATCAAGGAATGCTGCATTGTTGTCATTGATAGTTGCAGTGAACAAGAGAGTGTTGTTACGCATAAAGGACATGGAATGAGACGAAATGGTGACATTGAAACCACTTTGACGAGTTAAATACAAGACTGAGAGGAGATTATTTCGAAGATCTGGTACATGGAGCACTCTAGAGAATTCCACAGCCCTAGCCACTTTGCCATTCATCACAGGATTAAACACCACAGTACCAACACCAGCTGAATAGACGACAGTGTGATCAGCCAGCTTGATTGGCACACGATATGGGGTATAGTGGTGCACCCAATGACGATGAGGTGTCATATGAGAAGTGGCGCCTGTGTCTGCATTCCAATCAATGTCAGCATCAAGTTGGAGAGGGCAGTGAGGATCAGAGGGATGAATGGAACGAAGACTTGCATTTCCAGCTGATTCAGTGACCACAGTAGATGAATTGGCATTGTTGGGCGAAGATTTGGGCTGCTGAGAGGTATTCTGAGAGTTGCTGGGGCCTGCCTGAGCCTTATTGCCATGCTTGTAGCGATTCTTAGCACCCTCCGCCGCCTGTTGGCGACTGATAACATATCTGTGGCATTTATCCTGGGTATGACCAAGTAAACCACAGAAATCACACTGAATGCGAGTAGAGGTGGTGGATTGGTTGCAATGATGGCAGTTAGGATGGGTACAGGTGCTATTGGCAGTGGTAGACGAAGAATGCAAGGCAGAATCGACTTCAGCACGACGACGGCGATTGACCTCTTCAGCAAGGAAAGCATCCCTGAGCTGAGTTTTATCCAAGGTGCCCAGAAGCAGTAGAGACAAAGTAAAGTGGGCATATTGATCAGGAAGCGCCCTAATCATGGCCATGCATGTCAATTCATCGTCCAATTCAGACAATGAGAAGCCAGTAGGACGAAGATTTTGAATTTGATGCATGCTTTCGTCAATTCTGGTCATGAGAGACTGCAGGGACTCGTCCTCCTTCTTTCTGATAGAGAAGAAGTCGTCATAGGCATTAAATCTTGTCCCAGGCTTCTTAGAGACGTGCACAATGGCCAATTTCTCCCAGATCTTGACAGGATCATCAATGATGCCATCAAGATGGATGCGCTGCTCTTTGGTGACATTGAGGTATAATGCACCAGCAGCCTTTTCAGCTCTCAACTCCCATTTCTCTATTGCTTCAGCGTCAGTCCCAGGACACTTTTCAGTGCCAGAGACAAGCCTCCACAGTCCCTTGGTCATCAACCAAGCTTGCATTTCACCACTCCACTGGGGGTAGTTAGTGCCAGACAAGGGATGGAACTTTGGGTCAGAGTCAGACATGATGGGTGTTGTATAAGACGATAGAGCGAATATAAATGATGTAGGAGATGGCTATAGGCAATGAAACAGTGGCAAAGACGATGGGCAACAGTAGAAGGCGAGCAGATAAGATGGTGAGGCGGTATAGAGAGGATATGGAGAGGGTGAAAAGTGCAATGATAGGTCCAAATAGGGTCCAAAAAGCGTCCAAAAAGCGATCCAGGAGGGTGCTAAGGCTTCCTAGTGCTGCTACAGGGTTACGCCTGTGTTCCCCTTTCAATTCCACACTGATATTAACAGAGAAATCGCCTCGAGACAGTGTTGGTTAATAGGGCTTGTATATGAGTCAACAAAGTGACTTAAGCTCCCCAAACACCGCAGACTGAGAGAGGCTCTAGGCAACAGCAAACTGAGGCAATGCAGGCGAGCTTCACAGTCTATAGGCTTGTTCTATCTGATAATGGACAGAGTAGAGAAGATTGGAGCTTTATGCACACACCAGATATGCCAAAAAGCGAAAAATAGGGCAAAAAGTCGAAATTGATGCAGAGACAGATAAGATGGATGGATTGCCACCAAATCAGAGGTATAGGGAACATTTTTATAGAGTAATAGATGGCCCAAATATCACAAGAAGTGAAGCACAGGATGTGGAGATATGGAATAGGGGGCCAAAAGGTGATCAAATGATGATGAAGGCTCACAGAAAGATCCAGCTCAAATCCAACCGCTCTGACAGGTCTCCTAGGGTTATTTAGGCCGTAGAAGACGATGGTAGAAGTTACAGGACAATCAGATAAGGATTGGGCGAGATATGGTGCAGATAAGACCAAAAAAGCGTCCGAAATGGGGGTAACTTGCAACAAGGAGTTGTTGTTGGAGATCAAGATGAGATCAGAGTAATCTGAGGTGATGGATGAGATAATAAGAGTCCCAGAAGACGATGGTTACGATGGATAAGCAGTAGGACACTTGGATGGTGAGATATGAGGTCAGGAAGATGGCTAGAGCACAGGGCTCATAACCTATTAAGAACAAAGCTTGAAGGAAGTGTCTAGCCACTTGCTGAGAGCAATCAGGGACTGGAACTAGAGTCCAATGTGAGTAACTTTATTATTAGAGAGTATGACAGGTATACAGTACCTAGAGTCCAATGTGAGTAACTAGAGAATAGGAAGCATTGGACTCTGCAATACTGTCCGAAGTTTTGTAAACAAAGGTAAACAAAGCAGCCACAAAGGCAAAATAATAGAGAACACAATCAATAGTGAATGATAGAAGAATAGATAGAGAAAGGAATGAAAATATATAGGTAGCACAAAGGTGCAGAATCACCAAAACTAACACACAGAACACACTAAAGTGAAGATGAAGTTTGGGGAGTGGTTACCCCTTGAGCTGCAGTGAGTTAGTTGGTATACAACAGGAGGACTCGCTAAGGAGTCTCCTGGATCTATTGGTGTATATATACTACTACAGGTTGTTTGTACATGTGTACTATACAGTTGATGAAGGCAGTGGCTTGATGATGTCATAGGGCCTAGCCCGTATGGCCAGCTTCACTGCGTGAGAGAGTTAAGTCTAAAAATAAAAAGGAAGGCAACGCGGCGCGAGAAAGGGAAATGTCGCGTGGCACTTAAGGTATAAAGTGGAGAATAAAAGGAAAAGGAGATGTCCGGAATTTGTGTTATCGTAACACTTACTACTTATAGTTGGAGGTGCTACTTGCTATAGTATAATGACTCCTAGGAGTACAATTGTGCTCCTAGGAGAACAATGGCTGCTTCGGCAGAGACCAGGTTTATCCAGGTTTGTCAGTTACATGTTGAGTGAGTATTCATGAAAATCATCTCGATGCAAGGCCAGTGAAGGACAAGTGGGTGTAGTAAGGACTTACTGTCTTTTGCAGCTTGTAAGACAATGCAGCAGAATATATGGCTTTTACTGACATATTAGCTCTAGGGTACAGTGGATGTACTTCTGACACTCACCTTTATCCTGTCAAACCAAGCCAACTTCCCAGCTCTGTGTTGAGCCCTCTATTTTTTTGCCACCAAGGCCCACTGTTTGATTTTTCCGGTTGATTCACTGGGGCAATCCGTAGCATATGACACAGTGTACAAAGCACTTCAGACACTGGCCTATGAAATGCAGGCCAACTTGAAGGCTGCAATGCAACATGGTTCCAGGCGCTTTTTTTTGTGTTGTTGGAGGCAACATCCAGGCCTTTGCCAGGCAGCGCGACTCCAGGATTGGAGGAGAAAGCCACTTGATCAAGGGCTTTGCGGGCACAGCAGTGGAGATGGAAGGCTGTGATCCAGCTGCATTTAATGTAGAGGAATTAGTGAGACATCACAAACTTCAAGAGAGGAAAACACTTACCACAGATGTTATCCTTGAAGACTTAGACTTCCAGGGTCTTGCAGCTGCCTCAGCATTTCACTTCCTTGATGTCTTGATACAGTTTGTACATGGGCTGTAAGTCAATCAATCCAACCTGCGTGAAATATCAGCTGCTGTTGCAAAAAATCCCATTCCTCCAACATGGAAAACTAATGTTATCCCGCTGGCCACTAATAGCGCAGACGAGATTCAGGTTAGTGGGATAAAAGACACCATCCAGGATTTCTTAAAGACACAAATAAACCTTCATGACAAAACATCAGCAGACTGATTTGTTATATTTAGTGGCAATGGGAAAACTTTTGATCAAATATTAAGACTCAAAAAAGACCTATCAATCCATAATGGAAACTTTGAGTCCATGCAGTCTGTTGTGCCCATGCTTGAACTATGGCACACAAAATGGACAAACCTCAGCTGGTGTTGATGATGAGAACTGTAGTTAGAAAACCACACACAAAACAAACTAACACACAATCCTCCCAGATTCCATGGAACTTGTGTATGGGCTTTGCCTCGTAGAACAGTGGAGTGGTTTGGTTGTTCCTGGGGTGGTACGTATGACAATTCTTCAAAGTAAAACCCAGAGATGTATGGGTGTGGGTTTTGAGGAGGAGGGATAGTTGAACTATAGAGGATAGGGGCTTAGTTGACGAGTATAGACAAGCACTACCTTGCTAATTGTAGCACAAGGTAGGTTTGAGAACGACAAGATGACGGGGTGACAAGGTTCCCAGTGATAGCAGGTTCCTGATGAACACATTGTAGCGCTTAAAAGGACTCTAATCAAAAGGGATGATAATGATTCTCAAAAGTGATGAGTGATGATGACAACAGTTAACAGTGGTAGCAGTGGGAAGTGTTGTGACCACACTGGATCACAAGTAGCAGAGTAGTGAGCTTGAGATTAGAGAAGAAGTCTGGATTGGATTTCTTGTTGTTTTACAAGGTAAAATACAGAGGTTTATATAGTAAAAGAAAGGTAGGCTATGCACAGTATGTAACAACCAAGAGTGAATTACTCCGGCGCACACAGAACACACTATAAAGAAGATGAAGTTGGGGAGTGGTTACCCCTAAGGCTGCAGTGAGTTTGTTGGTATACAACAGGAGGACTCGCTAAGGAGTCTCCTGGATCTATTGGGGTATATATACTACTACAGGTTTGTTTGTACATGTGTACTATACAGTTGATGAAGGCAGTGGCTGATGATATCTCTGGGTTTTGCTTTGAAGGATCGTTATACGTACCACCCCAGGAACAACCAAACCACTCCACTGTTCTACGAGGCAAAGCCCATACACAAGTTCCATGGAATCTGGGAGGATTGTGTGTTAGTTTGTTTTGTGTGTGGTTTTTCTAACAACAGTTCTCATCATTGACAACAAAAGATAAGTGTACCCAAGTGAATGGGACAGCAATGTACATAGGTGACAAAAGGGGATGACCCTTCTCCAGCTCAAAAACTACCCACCCACGCTCCAACCAGGGAAGACGAGTGACCAATGGTTTTATGGTATACAATAGCAGATCAACGTCATGAAGATGGACCTGTTTGTTACGCACAAAGTGCTTAACAAAGTCTGAGGGTTCATCGAGGTTTTATAAAGAGACTTATCTGAAGACAAGTTTGAGAACGTAGTTCTGAATGGAGGTTTTCCAACAAGAGTTGGTCTTCTTCTGAGTAGAAGTCTGATCTTGGGAGTCTAGCTTTGTAAGCGTAAACTGCGTAGAATCGTATTAGAGAATACTAATGCTTGTTACATGGTATTTATAATGAAAAGGAATTGGTGATAGGAGTTAGGTCCTATCTAGGGCAGGTCCGTCTGTTGAGGACTAAGTACTATAATAGGTACTGTGAATGCAAGAGGAACGGAAGTGTACGTGAAGGAAATGAGTCATCGGTCTGATGGTATAACCGATGAGTAAAAAGAAATGAGTAGTCCTTATTGTCCAATAGAGATCATAACACTGTTGCCCTATTTGGACCAGCTGCCGGGGTTTTGCTGATATCAGCAGTGGCACGTGGTGGCCAACGGATTGGCGATGGAAACAGATAGAAAGTGGTGACATTAGATATGGCAGGGAGCAAAGAAGATGAGGAGAAGGAGGGTGGAGGTGATGAGGAGATGAACCAGGATACGGATCCAGAAGCGATTGTTGTGTGAGAATAAAAAGGAAAGTTAGGGTCCCATGGCGGGACTGAGTAAAGAAAAAAAGGTAAGGGAGAATGACGAAAGCGAGGGCGCAATGTGTAGCCAGTGGCAACGCAAAAATTTGCCAAATTGCCAAAACGCAGAAAGCACCGAATGGAAAAACCAAGGTGAGCGCAACTGAATTGACTAATAGAGGTGGTGCTGATCAGCCACAAGTTTGAAAAATGCAATATTAATTACTATTCCATGTGGCACTGTGCCTGTGTGGCGTAAAGGCAAGTCTTTTTGAATATTTGCTTCATCTTTAACACCTGTCCATACTACCAATCAACTTTGGTGCATGACATCCACGGACAACTTGCAATTGCAACTGTCCCAGTTGCTTCCATAAAGGTAGGGTCATAGGGAATGAAACATGGCAACATATTAAGGGGTCATGTCAGCATAAAATTTGTTCAGGTAAGTCATTAATCATTATCTTTATCATCTGAGTCGTCATGCTCATAGTCAGGTTCATCTTCTGGTTCATCTAGGTCTTTATCATGGTCATCCAGCTTGTCCAAGAGAGGCATGGAGTGGCAGGGGAAATAGGGAAGTAGGAAAAATTCTGCAATTCCTCTTTGTGATACTGATCCATCTATTTCTTTTAGAATGTATAATCCTCCTTTAGTACTTTGCACAACTTCATAAGGGCCATTGTAACAAGGCTTTGCTTTATGATCCAGCTCTTTTTCAACCTGAGTATTCCCCACTAGAACAAGCTCTCCAGGTTGGTATTCATCCTTGAACATCCTTCATACATAGAGTTTCTCAAACTGCAATTTAGATCTGAGACAAGTTTTGCGTATAGTGAGTGCAGCTTATTGCAAATCATCCTGTCTCTTTTCTAGTTGACAAATGCACAAAGCAATGAGGTCTTCTGTTGGCATTGCAGTATGAAATCCATGGACAAGGAAAGTTGCTTCTGTTAAATCAAATGATAGGACTGGGTCAACTCCGTGCAACAGATAAAAAGGGCTGAATCCAGTAGAATAGCATGTAGTGACCTTGTCTGCAAAGAAGGCATGAGGGACCTTGGTTGGTCATAAATGAACATTCCCTTCACAGGACTTGACAAGTGCTTCTCTTATGATGAAGTGTCCACGCTCAACAACACCATTTGCCTTGGAATTGTAGGGAGAAATGCAAATATAAGGGATCTGGGAATGTTCCACAAGCTCTTTAAATGCTCCTTTGACTTCGCTTCCATTGTCTGTGACAACTTCTCCTATAGATTCATAGTGACAGATGATTTCTTCCCAGAAAAAGTAAGCAAGATTATGTGCAGATGCTTTCTTTAATGCTCTTCCTTCCGCAGAAAGTGACAGATCATCTCTTGCAGCAACAAGATATTGATATCCTCTAGCCTTTGGCATAAGCATAATGTTGACATAGACTTTGGTGAAGATTGTAGGAGGCAATGAGATGGTAAGTGGGACTTCACTTTTGCGTACACTTCAAATCTGGCATTCATGGCAGGTGCACACATGATGCTTGACATCCTGTAACATATGGAGCCAGTAAAAGTGCTCTCTGACTGTAGAGAATACACCATTAACTCCTCTGTGACCAAGCCTTTTGTGTGCTTCAGTAAGGATGTGAAGTCGAAGGTCAGGATTAAAGATGACTTTGAGAGGAGGAGCAGAGTGACAACACTTGAACATGCTGTCTCCTTTCAAGAAGAATTGAAGTGATTGCTTGACAAAGTGCTTTTGGGCTTGAAGAGAGAAAAATATAGGCAGGTCCATAGTCTGAAGAAAGTGGAAGATTCAATGAAGGGCATTATACTGAGATGAATCATTGGTAAGGAATGAAGGGAGCAACATAGAGTGATATGGGAGAGGTCTGGCAAGATCAACTAGGAGGGCAATATCATCAAGCCAATCTTCTGATTCTTAAGCATCTTCAAAGTTTTCCTCTGTTGGTTGACAGCGTTATACTGCATCAGGACCACAATGACGATCAGCAGGTATGTGAATGAGCTTGAAATCAAAGAGAAGAATGCCCTGAATCCAACAATTGATAGTGGCATTAGGCTGTGACTCACAGCCTTCCTTGCTAATCAATATCCCTCCAATGTATTCCCAGACATAGCATTGGATTATTGCTATGTCATCTGGATATCTTCTTGAGGGTCTACAATGGTTCTCCTTTGTTGTAAGTACAATAGAACATGAGTATGAATGGAGAATAAGAAGAAAAAAGATAAAAGTAATAAAATTCCAGCTGTAATCTCTAGTCCAAGAGCAAGAGGAGTGACAGGGAATAAATTGGATAACCATGACATGATGGGAATGCAATAAGAAAAATTGATTCCTTACATTAGCTCCCCTTCTATAAGACTCGTGTCCTTATGAGTCCAGAAGTGGCACTCTGAAACTTGTTGGTAATCCAATCAAAAAGCATCGGAGATTTAGAAGTTGCGGTGTAATTTCTGTAAGGGCGGAAGTGAAGGGAAGTGGTGATGATACGAGGGGCGGCAGGATGTGTTTTGTGGAATGTGGCGAGCAAGTCAGAGACGTGTGTAAGATTGGTTTTGGGTTCCCAAGTATATTCTGAGACTGGATAACCATGCCAGTGGACCAAGTAGTCGAGTTTAGTTTTAGTTTGGTCGGTCTAGATGCAATTATACTTTCTACTTCATATTTGTCCACTCCTTCAACAATTTTGGGCAGTGGTTGTGAAAAAATTGGTTGGTTAGGGAATTCGGGAGTGTGATATGGCAATGGAATGGCTTTATTGAATACTGGATGAATGGACTTCCAGCTTTTCGGGATGTTGAGTTGGTAGACGGAAGGTTCAACTTTTTGGGTGATTTTAAAAGGTGCAAAGTGTTTGCCGTCCAATTTCTTCATCGGTCTATCTGTCGTGATGTTGTGTCCTTCTAACCAGACCTTATTGCCAGTTTGATATTCTCAGGGTGGGGATCTCTTACGGTCGTAGTATCGTCTAAAATTGTTGTTTGCTTAAAAAAGGGAAGATTTCATGAGTTCATGGAGCCGTTTCGTCTGTTCACCAAACTCGGCCGCCAATGCGGATCAAGGGGACGATATAATGGTGGTATTTTTTTGTGGGTGTAGTCCATAGTTTAAAAAAAAAGGTGTCTGATTTGTTGCAGTGTGGAGATGATTGTTGTATGTGCATTCGGCAATAGAAAGCCAATCTGCCCAATTGTTTTGTCTATGATTTACGAAAACATGGAGATAGTGCTCAAGATCCTGGTTGATCTGTTCAGACTGTTCATCTGTTTGAGGGTGATAACCTGTAGAAAGGCCCGATGTTATCCCCATCAAATCATAAAAGTCTTTTGTAAACTGTGACATAAATTGAGGACCTCGATCAGAGATGATCTTTTCAGGAATTCCATGGAGTCTTATTATGTTGTCTCCGAGCTGACGTGTGTAACCAGTAGAGTCAAGGGTGACAAAAGTGGGGACAAAATGGGCCATCTTGCTAAATTGGTCTACAAAAACCTGAATGGCAGTGTAGCCCTTAGACTCTGGTAGTGCGCCTATGAGGTTGGTGGTGATAACTTGCCAAGGTCAATCGGGTATCAGATTGGGATGTAGAGGGGCGTTAGGCTTTGTCCGGTGTGCCTTGGTTTGTTGACAAGTCTCGCATCCTCATACATATCATCTGATATCCGTGCAAAGACTCGGCCACCAGAGTTCTCGGTTCCCTCGTTCAAACATTGTTCTCTCTCCTGGATGTCCAGCAAAAGCTTTGTTGTGATAATCTTTCAATATTTGTGCACGTAGTTCATGGTTTCAAGGGACGTAGATGCAGTTAGTTAATGGGATTGGGTAGGAACTCATCACAGACTCTCTTTTGATCCAGATGATCCTATCCTTCATCTTCGAGGTATCCAACTTTTCTTTCAAATTCTTCCTTACTACATTATCTTGTTCCTGGACGTTTCTGCGTATATCTGGTAGGTATCCTTTGTTGGTGTCAAGTACTTCAAAATGTACGTCCGGGAGGAGTGTCAGCTTTAGTGTTCTGATCTCCTTTGATGTGCTCCATTTTGAAGTTGTAGTCTGCAAGCTGAGAAGACCACCGTGCTGTCATGCACCAAAGTTGATTGGTGGCATGGACAGGTGTCAATAACAAAGCGGATATTCAAAAAGACTTGCCTTTGCGCCACACAGGCACAGTGCCACGTGGAATAGCAATCTAGTCACGCTCACCTTTGCTTTCCATTTGGTACTTTTGGCATTTTGGCATTTTGGCAAATTTTCGCGTTGCCACTGGCTACACATTGCATTGCACCCTTGTTTTTGTTGTTTCCCTTACTCCCCTTCCTCTCCTTTTTATTCTCACTTGATGGTTGTTTCTGGATCCCCGTTCTAATCCACTTTTTCATCACCTCCACCCTTCTCCTCCTTCTCTTATTTGCACCCCCACCATTTCTGATGTCATCACTTCCTATCCGCTTCCGTTGCCAATCCGTTGACTACCACGTGCCACTGCTGATATCAGCAAAGCCCCGGCGGCCAGTCCAAATAGGGCAACAGGTCCATCTTCATGACGTCAATCTGCCATCATATACTATCAAAACATTGGTCGCTCGTCTTGCCTGGTTGGAGCGTGGGTGGGTAGTTTTTGAGCTGCAGAAGGTTTATCCCCTTGCGTTGCCCATGTTCATTTCTGTCCCATTCACTTGGGTACACTTGTCTTTTGTCCATCGTCTTCACTACAGCTACACCTACCACACGCTGCCTGGGACTCACTTGTTCCAAATTGGAACTACTCCTCCTCTCCCTCCCTCATTTGATCAGGTGGTCCAACACAACCAGCCTATTGGTAAGGCCATGGAACTGTTGGATTTGGACTAGGTGGTGGACCAGTGGCTTCAGTTTTTTTTTTTTTCAGCAAAACATTCATTTACAGTGCGATTATTTTTGATTTTTGAATCATTTTTATGGACACATATTTTTTTAGAATGCCTGACTGGCAATAAAGGAACTGTGTTGATACTGATATTTTTTGCCTTGCCCTTTTTTTACTGCATCTTCTCATGACATCACAATTTTCTTGCTCTCTTTTTGCTATTTGGACTTTCTTTTATGGCTGTACAAACCTGTGACATTACTTACATAGCATTCATTGTTCTATCCATTTCTTTTCCTTTTTTTGACAATCTTATCCTGTACTACCTACGCAGGATTTGTCAGCATACATTCCTTCCTTCATGTTCTTTCTCATTCTTTTTGCACAGCTATACTGTGCATAGCCTACTTTTCTTTCACTATATAAACCCCTGTATTTTACCTTGAAAAATAACAAGAACTTGAATCCAGACTTCTTCTCTAATCTCAAGTTCACTACTCACTACTACTTGTGATCCAGTGTGGTCACAACACTTCCCATTGTTACCACTGTTAACTGCTGTCATTGTCACTCATCACTTTTGAGAATGATTATCATCCCTTTTGATTAAAGTCCTTCTGAGCACTACAGTTTGTGCATCAGAAGCCTGCTATCACTGGGAAGCTTGTCACCCCGTCATCTTGTTGTTCTCAAACCTACCTTGTGCTACAGTGCATGACAACGTCACATCATTCATTTTAAAAACCATACACTCACATGTGGGAGTTTCCAATGAAACCTATCCAAACAGGCCAAAAAGCGGTCCTAACGCAACCTAATAACAATTATGAAGATGTGGCCAACCAAGCAGAAGCGACCTTGAGCAAATCGGTCCAACTTCATAGATGTGGCAAAGGATACAAACAACAGTCACCATTCTCACTAGCATCAAAAGATTGGGTAGACAAGTTTGGGAAGTGGGATTAAAAAAGACTATGGGCATACCTCAACGCATGGAACCCTGAAATTATGCAATGCATACGTGCTAATCATGACGTTAAACTGATGCTAAATGGAGTTGAAACAAGAGGTCTTGCCTGGTATATAACAAATTACGTGGCCAAAAAGCAAAGGGAATCTTCAAACACGACTGCCCTGCTTGCAAGGATGTTGGCTTTCCACAGAGCTAAGGAGAGGCAAAATGCAGACCTATAAAATGCTAACAAAAAAATGCTTCAAAGATGTGCCAACACACTAAGTTGCAAGCAAGAATTCAGCGCACCAGAGGTAGTTGGTTACGTTATGAGCTGGGGTGATCAATATGTGTCACATCATTTTGAAACTATCCATTGGGATAGCGCTGTGACTCAATTACAAAACACATTCCTGATACTACAAGCTGGACATGTGAGATTTAAATACTGCATACAAATTAAAACTTACATATTGTTTGCAGATTAGTACAGACGACAAAGTCTGTATACAAATTGTGGATGGAAACCTACATGCATGCAATCAGATGAAGGAATATATGGACAGGGGTGATTACTTGGAAGAATGCTTATACCTCAATTTTTTTCTCAACATATGTTACGATAACACAATTTCCGGACATCTCCTTTCCTTTTTATTCTCCGCTTTAACTTTATACTTTAAAGTGCCACGCGGCATTTCCCTTTCTCGCGCCGCGTTGCCTTTCTTTTACTTTTAGACTTAACTCTCTCACGCAGTGGAGCTGGCCATACGGGCTAGGCCCTATGACATCATCAGCCACTGCCTTCATCAACTGTATAGTACACATGTACAAACAAACCTGTAGTAGTATATATACCCCAATAGATCCAGGAGACTCCTCAGCGAGTCCTCCTGTTGTATACCAACTAACTCACTGCAGCCCAAGGGGTACCCACTCCCCATCTTCCACTACCTTTATAGTGTGTTCCTGTGTGCGCCAGAGTAACTAACTCTTGGTTGTTACATTAGGACTCGCTCTTTCTACTCTCTCGCACGTTTGTGCAAAAGTCCCATTGGGCACCCGGACTCCAGGGTGAAGGAGATTGGCTAGGGTTAGGAATATCCCAAATAGCAGATAGGTGCGCTCCTAGCGACGGCCTTGTAGTGCTCAGGGAGAAGAACCCAAAACCTACGTTACGCGGCCCCCAGCGTTAAGGGGAGTACTTAGCTCAGCAGTCGGTGTGGAACCACTGTTGATTAGATTTAGAATACAAACTTTCACTTTCGAATACCTCTGACCAGGCCGGGCACTTGCCTCCGCCAGTCTGGAGAAGGGTTGACAGCTTAACAAGCGGACCACCCCCTGACAACCGTTCGGACCAGGGTTTATTACAAATACATTTTATATACCTTTCAAATACTATAGTGTGGGTAGTCGGAGATTGAGATCCGATACTCAGCTGGGAAGAGGTTGATCCGCAGATAGCAAGCGGGGACCCCCAGTTACCTATTTTTACATTACCCAAAGAGAACAAGTCGACATGTCGTCGCAAGATATGAATGCGCTACTGCACGCAATGCGTGTGCAGATAGCTGAATTAACCTCGCAGCTCGCCGAGATACAGGCCAACCCCCCTGTAGCAACCCCCTCGGTAGAGAAAAAATTCAATAAGAAAGTCGAAGTCGTCGCTGACCCTGGCGCCTTCGAAGGAGACAGGGCTAGATTCGCCGAATGGTGGATCAAGCTCCAGATTTGAGTCAAGGCGAATTGGGACGCATTCGCCGATGACTTCGAGGTAGCTACTGCAGTGCTATCTCGACTAAAAGGACCTGTGGCGGGTCGATACGCCCAAGTTAGATTGCAGGAGTGCTACACCGCGGGAGTGTGGCCCACCTGGGATGATCTCAAGAAGGAGATCAAAAAATACTTCAAACCACAGGCTGAGCGTGACTGGGCTCGGCAGCAAATTTGTTCGTTCAAACAGGGAAACCTGAGGACGGATGATTACGTCACCCGGTTCCTGGCCCTCTCCATCCAAGGAGGGTTAGGTAACGAACACGCAGTGGAACTGCTAGAACGCAAGGTCAACCCTCGCATTGCAGAGCAGATCTACCTGCAGGATACGAGAAGTGACGACCTGGCTCTGGCAGCCGAGGAAGTCAGGCGAGTTGGTAGGGCCATAGAGCTCTACGCTATGCACCAAGGTGGCGGGTCCACCAAACAAACCACATCATCCCAGAGGCGCCCTGGGTCATCAAACCAACATCAAAATCACTCTCACGGGTTTAGGCCGTTCGGGCTGCAGCCAGGACAGGGTGCTCCTATGGATATCGGCGCGGTCCAAGGCGGACAAATGCGCAGATTCAAGGGCAGCTGTTACAACTGCGGCCAAGAGGGACATATGTCCCAAGACTGCAAAAAAGGGTTGCAGGCCGGCCAACAAAAAAATAACCAAGGGCGCCAGGCGCGCCAATTAGAAACCGAACAATTGGATGATCGGCTCCACTCATTGGCCGGTTGTTCTTACGACGAAATCCGGGCTTTCTTCTACGACCAGCAGGTCAACAAGATGAAGGCTCAGGGAAAAGAATTCGGGGCTTAGGTCACTTGGGTGCCTTAGCTCCTAGTAAAAATGAAGTAAACCACAACAAGGTGGCCCCTGCTCCGGGGTGTTGCACGAGCAATAACGGAATGACGGGGATGGCTCCCCAATTTGTAAATAAATTTCTAAATTTGTTATCAGAAGTATGTACTTGTATGAAGAAATGTAACTGTAATATTTATGATACTACCGCTGCACCAGCGTCTCCTTTGGAGTGTGGCCCCGGCGAGACAAACACTAGGGTGCTTGATTCTGGCAAAACTAAAATAGAAAAACATGTGTCATTTTCCCCTTCTTCTTCTACTTCTTCTTCTTCTTCGGAGCCACCCTTTCCCGAAATCCCAAGGCGTGTGTTGATGCGCACGTATTTATTCCAAAAGGAGATCTGTTTAGACGTTGGCGTGGAAAACCTTGCCAGGGGCAAAGTACACTCAACGAGCGCACTGCTTGATTCAGGCGCTAACGGGATCTTCATAGATCAGGTCTGGGCGGAGCAAATTGGACTCCCCCTTGTAAAATCAGATGCACCTATTCCCGTCTATAACGTTGACGGTACGCTTAACGCAGGTGGCTGTATCACTCACAAGTGTTCTTTTGTGGTCGAATACCAAGGACACAGAGAACGAGTCACTGCCGAAGCTACCCAACTAGGGAAGATTAATTTAATCTTAGGCTGGACCTGGCTATTTAAACATAATCCTGAGATCAACTGGCAGACAGGGGTTGTCACATTGTCACGTTGTCCCCAGGAATGTGTAAACTTGGGTAAACCAAATCATGTCCGTCACCATGAGCGTCTCGAAAAGTTAAACGCTAGTCACGTTTACAAGCTCAGATCTTTAGAAAAGATCGACGATGACGATGATGAGGTAAAACCTGAGGAAGAGATTAAGAGGCTGGTACCTCCCGAGTACCACGACTTCTGGAAAGTTTTTTCGAAACACAAATCAGAGCGCTTCCCAGAGGGTAAGCCTTGGGACCATGCTATAGATTTGAAAGACACCTTCAAACCAAGGAAGGGACACATGATACCGCTCTCTGCTCCCGAAAGAGACGAGGTATCTAGTTTCATAGACGAACAACTTAGGAAGGGTTACATCAGACCTTCCAAAAGTCCTATGACGTCCCCGTTGTTCTTCATTCCTAAAAAGGATGGTAAGAAGCGCATGATTATGGACTATCGTTACGTGAATGAGCACACGGTTAAAAACGCGTATCCGCTGCCTTTGATTAGTCAGCTAGTGGACAAATTGGCTGGCGCCAAGATCCTGACTAAAATGGATCTCAGATGGGGGTACAACAATGTACGAATCAAGGAGGAAGATGCTTGGAAGGCCGCATTCACGTGCCACCGAGGATCTTTTGAACCCCTTGTTATGTTCTTTGGGTTGACCAATTCACCGGCGACCTTCCAGAGCATGATGAATGAGATCTTTGCGGATATGGAAAACTGTGTCGTCATTTACATTGACGATTTATTAATATTTACAAAGTCGGACGATGAGGCTGAGCATGACAGGATCGTGCAAGAAGTCCTTCGACGCTTACAGGAACGGGACCTATTCGTTAAACCCGAAAAATGTAATTTTAAAGTGAAGGAAGTAGACTTCCTTGGTATGATCATAGGCCAGAACGGAATCAGGATGAACCCTGAGAAAGTTCAAGCTATTTTGGAATGGCCAGAACCTACTCGCGTCAAAGGAGTTAGGGCCTTCCTAGGCTTAGGCAATTTCTACCGAAGGTTTATTGAAAACTTTGCAAAAATCACGAGACCGTTGAACGATCTCACCAAAAAGGACCTTGTTTGGCAGTGGGGCGCCAAAGAACAGGAAGCTTTTGATAAGCTTAAACAGGCATTTACAACAGCGCCCATATTGGCATTCCCTGAATTAGACAAAGAGTTCCGGCTAGAAACTGACTCTTCTGACTTCGCCACTGGGGCTGTTCTATCCATCAAATGTCCTGATGATCTTTGGAGGCCTTGTGCCTATTTATCGCATAGTTTGTCGCCTACAGAGCGCAACTATCAAATATACGACAAGAAGATGCTGGCCATCATTAGAGCTTTAGAGCACTGGCGGCACTACTTAGAAGGTGCTAGGCACCAATTCGAAATTTGGACCGATCATAAGAACCTAGAGTACTTCATGACGGCCCGAGACCTGAACCGAAGACAAGCCCGCTACGCGGTGTACTTGTCAAGGTTCAATTATAAATTAATTCATAAGCCAGGAAGCTCAATGGGGAAAGCGGATGCTTTATCTAGAAGAGAGGATCATGCCAACGGCATAGAAGATGACAACAAAGGTGTCACCTTGATAGATCAATCAAGGGTCGCCAATGTTAGAATCGGGCAAGATTCCGACCTCCTAGAAGTCTTCAGGAAAGACATTTCCCCTGAGGAAAAGGCGCGCCTTGACGGCAATGAAAACTATTTATGGAAAGACGGGTTCTTTCATTTTAAAAACAAAATCTATGTGCCTGAGTCCGTAAGGATCAAGACCATAGATAGACATCATGACACTCCAGTGGCTGGGCACCCTGGATGGCAACGAACAATGGAGTTGATCTCCAGAAACTACATGTGGCCTGGCATGGTCAAAGACGTACAGGAATACGTAAAATCCTGTTTGAGATGTGCCATGGCCAAGAATTCTCATCAACCGCCGGCCGGTAAACTCATGCCGAACCCGATACCAGCTGGCCCCTGGCAGGATATATCGGTGGACTTCACGACGGATCTGCCCGAGTCAAACGGGTACGATTCAGTAATGGTGGTAGTAGATCGCTTCTCCAAAGAAGTGGTATTCATACCCACCAACAAAACCATCACCGCCGCCGGTACGGCAGACCTATTTAAGGATTTTGTATGGTCAATCCATGGGTTACCAGAAACGGTAATCTCCGATCGAGGACCGCAATTCGCTAGCAAATTCACGAAAGAATTATGCTGGATGCTGGGCATCAAACCTAAACTATCAATGGCGTTCCATCCGCAAACTGATGGACAAACGGAGAGACTTAACCAGGAGTTAAAACAGTATCTCCGAATATTTATTAATGATAGACAGACGGATTGGGCCAAGTGGCTAAAGATAGCCCAGTTCTCATATAATATCAAACAGTCGTCGGCTACAGGAAAAGCACCATTTGAGGTTACTAGATCGTACCTCCCCAGAATGGGTGTAGAACCTGGCAAAAGCAAAAACGAGACTGCTGGGAACATGGCAAAAGACATGAAGTCTGTCTTGGACGAAACGCGCAAAGCGCTATTTAAAACTGCGGAGCAGATGAAAAACAGGGCAGAGCGTAGACGCTCTAAGGCCCCTGACTACAAGGTCGGCGACCTGGTCTGGTTAGATACCGACCACTTAAAACTAAAAGACCGGCAGTCTAGAAAACTGACCGAAAAGTGGATTGGCCCTTACCGGATTAAGGAAGTCAAACCTAATGCGGTGGAGCTGGAACTCCCAAAACGAATGAGGGTGGTACCCACGGTTAACATTAGCCGTGTGAAACCCTACAAAGGACCGCTGCCGGGACAACGCGTAGACCGGCCCGGTCCGGTAGTAGTCACCCAGGAAGGTGAAGAAGAGTTCGAAGTCGAACGGGTGGTAGATGCACGCTTGAAGCGTGGAAAATTAGAGTTCCTGGTCCTATGGAAGGGCTACGGAGACGAGGACAGAACGTGGGAACCAGAATCCCATCTGGAAAACTCCCGCAACGCTGTTCGCGAATTTTATTCTAGGAATCCCTCAGCTCCCAGGAAGCTTAGAGGCATGGATTCAAACCTTTTTAATTCCCTCTTTCAACCTATGCCCGAAACTTTTACCACTACCTCCGGAATTTGGTCTCGCCTGGAAGTCGAGCCTTAGAAGGGGGGTAGTGTTACAATAACACAATTTCTGGACATCTCCTTTCCTTTTTATTCTCCGCTTTAACTTTATACTTTAAAGTGCCACGCGGCATTTCCCTTTCTCGCGCCGCGTTGCCTTTCTTTTACTTTTAGACTTAACTCTCTCACGCAGTGGAGCTGGCCATACGGGCTAGGCCCTATGACATCATCAGCCACTGCCTTCATCAACTGTATAGTACACATGTACAAACAAACCTGTAGTAGTATATATACCCCAATAGATCCAGGAGACTCCTCAGCGAGTCCTCCTGTTGTATACCAACTAACTCACTGCAGCCCAAGGGGTACCCACTCCCCATCTTCCACTACCTTTATAGTGTGTTCCTGTGTGCGCCAGAGTAACTAACTCTTGGTTGTTACAACATATATGATGGGAATATTAAGAACAAAGCTTGAAGGAAGTGTCTATCCACTTGCTGAGAGCAATCAGGGACTGGAACTAGAGTCCAATGTGAGTAACTAGAGAATAGGAAGCATTGGACTCTGCAATACTGTCCGAAGTTTTGTAAACAAAGGTAAACAAAGCAGCCACAAAGGCAAAATAATAGAGAACACAATCAATAGTGAATGATAGAAGAATAGATAGAGAAAGGAATGAAAATATAGGTAGCACAAAGGTGCAGAATCACCAAAACTAACACTCCCCCCTGATCTAATAAGTCCCATCATCTTCCTAAACACTTCCACTTTGGGCTTGACAAGGGCCTTGGTCAACAAGTCCACAGGCATCTCAGCAGTGGGAACAAAGGTAGGAGCAATCTGCCCAGAGTCAACAATATCTCTCAACCAATGCCATTGCAGATCAAGGTGTTTCATCTGACCATGGTGCTCAGGGTTCTTGGATACAGAGATGGCAGATTGGTTGTCAATATGAAGGGTGAAAGGAGAGGTGATAGGATAGCCCATTTCCTTCAACAAATTTTGCATCCAGCAGATCTCTTTGCCAGCATCAACAGCAGCAATGTATTCTGCTTCAGTGGTGGATAAAGCAACAATGTTCTGAAGCTTGGAGCTCCAGGAGACAGCACCAGATCCTATCTTGACAATATAGGCACCAGTAGAACGACCAGAGTCCTTGTCACCACCATGATCAGCATCAGAGAAAGTGGTGAAGAGTTCAGTGGAATTGGGATCAGGACCAAGGACAAGGGAATGATCAAGGGTGCCTTGCAAGTAGCGGAACAAGTGCTTGACAGCGCTCCAGTGAGTAAGACCAGGATTAGAGTGTTAGTTTTGGTGATTCTGCACCTTTGGTTTTGCATCAAGGTCCAAATGAGGCCCATTGTCAGGCAATGGCTGAGGCTGCTGAAGCGCAGCTGGTGGGCCCATATCTCCCCCTGGACCTGGTGCAGGGACATCCTCAATCAGGCCCAATGGCATGGATAGCAAAGGTGGAGTAGGAGGTGGAGGTGGGACATTGTCAGAAGACCTCTTCAAGCCAGGGAAGTAGCACACATCAAAATCAGCTTTCTCAGAGATAACAGTGCGCTTGGTGGTAGGATTGTAGAATTTCCATCCCTTGTACCCCTCAGGGTAACCAATGAACACACATTTCTCCATATGAGAGCCAAAGATGCCTCTTTTGTCCTTTTGCACATGCACATAGGCAGTACAGCCCAAAACGCGAAGGTGAGACATGTCAGGCTTGCATCCATACCACAACTCAAATGAAGTGGCATGGGCCACTGCATCAGTGGGACACCTGTTCCAGACATGCACCAAAGTGGACAGACATTCACCCCAGAAGCTGTTAGGCAATCCAGACTCTAATAACATGGCAGTGATACACTCAGTCAGAAGTCTGTTTGCTCGCTCTGCCACACCATTCTGCTGAGGATGATTCCTGGTGGTATGCTGTCTGACAATCACATGGTTATCTGTGAATTGCTCAAATTCCTTGGACATGTACTCTCCCCCTTTGTCATTGCGCAGAGCCTTGATTTTGCGCTCCAATTGAGTCTCAACATAAGCCTTGAATCTCTTGAAAGCATCTAAGGCATCTGACTTGGCCTTGAGAGGCACAACAACACGGAATCAACTGTGATCATCAACGAAGGTGACTCAGTAGCAATAACCAGAGAATGTGGGGGAAGAGACTTGGTGTACATCAGAATGGATGAGTTCCAAAGGATAAGCAGAGCAAGTATCAGATGAGGGGAATAGACTGGCATGCATCTTGCCAGACAAGCACGGTCCACAGGATCAGGAGCAGCCTTGGATTCCAGTGTAAGCCCAGTAACCAGATCTCTCTGTATCAGTCTCTTGACATCGGCATGATGGTGGTGAACCAATCTGCAATGCCAGAGCATCAAATCAAGTGGTATAGTTGCAATAAAATGTCCCAGTTCAACACAAGCAGCAGTAGATCCATCAAGGAATGCTGCATTGTTGTCATTGATAGTTGCAGTGAACAAGAGAGTGTTTTCACGCATAAAGGACATGGAATGAGACAAAATAGTGACATTGAAACCACTTTGATGAGTTAAATATAAGACTGAGAGGAGATTATTTCAAAGATCTGGAGCACTCTAGAGAATTCCACAGCCCTAGCCACTTTGCATACATGTGGTACTGTACAGTTGTAAATAAAGTTCAAAGTCTGATGTCTAGTATGTGACCGGTCACATGATGAGTCTAGACACTGGTCAGGCGGTGTGTCACATGACTGGTCATGTGACTTGGAAAATAAAAGTAGAAGTACAAAAGTAAAGCGTAAGTAGGTGCTGGTATGTTAATTGTAACACCCACACTATAGTATTTGAAAATTTATGTAAAAGTTATAGTATTTAAACCCTGGTCCAAACGGTTGTCATGGGGTGGTCCGCTTGTTAAGCTGTTAACCCTTCTCCAACTGGCGGAGGCAAGTGCCCGGCCTGGTCAGAGGAAAGAGAAAGTGAAGTTTTGTATTTAATTCTAATCAACAGTGGTTCCACACCAACTGCTAATCTAAGTACTCCACTTGACGCTGGGGGCCGCGTATCAAAAGTTTTTGGTTCTTCTCCCAAAGCACTACAAGGCCGTTGCAAAGAGCGCACCTATCTGCTATGCGGGATATTCCTAACCAATAACCAAATCTCCTTCACCCTGGAGTCCGGGTGCCCAGTGGGACTTTTTTTTGCACAACGTGCGAGAGAGTAGAAAGAGCAAGTCCTAATGTAACAACCAACAGTTAGTTACTCTGGCACACACAGAACACACTATAAGGAAGATGATGAGGGAGTGGTTACCCCTTGAGCTGCAGAGAGTTAGTTGGTATACAACAGGAGGACTCGCTGAGGAGTCTCCTGGATCTATTGGGGTATATATACTACTACAGGGTTGTTTGTACATGTGTACTATACAGTTAATAGAGACTGTAACAACCAAGAGTGATTTACTCTGGTGCACACAGAACACACTATAGAAGATAATGAAAGATGGGGAGTGGGTACCCCTTGGGCTGCAGTGAGTTAGTTGGTATACAACAGGAGGACTCGCTAAGGAGTCTCCTGGATCTATTGGGGTATATATACTACTATAGGTTTGTTTGTACATGTGTACTATACAGTTAATGAAGGCAGTGGCTGATGATGTCATAGGGCCTAGCCCGTATGGCCAGCTCCACTGCGTGAGAGAGTTGAATCTAAAGTAAAAAAAAGGCAACGCGGAGCGAGAAAGGGGAAATGCCGCGTGGCACCATGTGTGAAAGCTAAAGTATAAAGTTAAAGCGGAGAATGAAAAGAAAGGAAACGTCCGGAAATTGTGTTATCGTAACAGAGACAGTGGCTGATGATGTCATGGGGCCTAACCCATATGGCCAACTCCACTGTGTGAGAAAATTGTGTCTAAAATAAGAAAAAAGGCAACGCGGCGTGAGAAGTTTGGAAAAAAGGGGAAGTGCCGCGTAGCACCATGTGTGAAAGCTAAAGTACAAGGTTAATGTGGAGAATGAAAATAAAGGAGAAGTCCGAAAATTATGTTATCATAACAAATCAAGCTGGCTGATCACACTGTTGTCTATTCAGCTGGTGTTGGTACTGTGGTGTTTAATCCTGTGATGAATGGCAAAGTGGCTAGGGCTGTGGAATTCTCTAGAGTGCTCCATGTACCAGATCTTTGAAATAATCTCCTCTCAGCCTTATATTTAACTCGTCAAAGTGGTTTCAATGTCACTATTTTGTCTCATTCCATGTCCTTTATGCGTGAAAACACTCTCTTGTTCACTGCAACTATCAATGACAACAATGCAGCATTCCTTGATGGATCTACTGCTGCTTGTGTTGAATTGGGACATTTTACTGCAACTATACCACTTGATTTGATGCTCTGGCATTGCAGATTGGTTCACCACCATCATGCCGATGTCAAGAGACTGATACAGAGAGATCTGGTCACTGGACTTACACTGGAATCCAAGGCTGCTCCTGATCCTGTCTGTGAACTGTGCTTGTCTGTCAAGATGCATGCCAATCCATTCCCCTCATCTGATACTTGCTCTGCTCATCCTAACAAGTGGACCACCCCCTAACAACCGTTTGGACCAGGGTTTAAATACTATAACTTTTACATAAATTTTCAAATACTATAGTGTGGGTAGTCGGAGATTGAGATCTGATACTGAGCTGGGAAGAGGTAGATCCACAGACAGCAAGTGGGGACCCCCAGTTGTTACAATTGACATACCAGCATCCACTTACGCTTCACTTTTGTACTTGTACTTTTATTTTCCAAGTTACATGACCAGTCATGTGACCATTTACTCTACTTTACATTTTCAACTTTTCATAGTTACCTGACCAGTCATGTGGCATATCACCTGACCGGTGTCTAGACTCATCATGTGACCGGTCACATGTTAGACATTGGACTTTGAACTTTATTTACAACTGTACAGTACCTCATGTATTTTAGTATATATACAAGAGCAATACATGGGGAAGGAATCAGCTAGTCCTCCTGTTGTCTAGCACAACTAACTCACTGCAGCCTAAGGGGTAACCACTCCCCATCATCTTCTTTATAGTGTGTTCCTGTGTGCGCCAGAGTAAATAACTCTTGGTCGTTACACCAGTTACCTTTTTTTCACTTTACAAGAGAACAAGTTGACATGTTGTTGCAACAAGATATCAATGGTCTGCTGCACGTCATGCGTGCACAGATTGCAACATTAACCTTGCAACTTGCCAAGCTGCAGACAAACCCTCCTGTGGCAACCCCCTCGGTTAAGAAGAAATTCAACAAAAAAGTCAAAGTCGTCGCTGACCCTGGCACCTTTGAGGGAGATAGAGCGCAATTTGCCGAGTGGTGGATCAAACTCCAGATTTGGGTTAAGACAAATTGGGACGCATTTGCAGACAATAATCAGGTAGCCACTGCGGTGCTATCTCAACTAAAAGGATCTGTGGCGGGTCAATATGCTTAAGTTAGACTACAGGAATGCTACACCGCAGGAGTGTGGCCGACCTCAGACGATCTCAAGAAGGAGATTGAAAAATATTTCAAACCACAAGCTGAGCGTGACTGGGTGCGTCAGCAAATCTGTTCCTTCAAACAAGGAAATATGAGGACGGATGACTATGTTACCCGGTTCCTGGCCCTCTCCATCCAAGGAGGGCTTGGTAATGAACATGCAGTGGAACTACTGGAGCGCAATGTGAACCCCCACATTGCAGAACAGATTTACTTGCAGGATACAAGAAACAACAACTTGGCCCTGGCAGCTGAGGAAGTACGACAAATTGGTAGAGCCATAGAGCTTTACCAAATGCACCAAGGTGGCGGGTCCACCACCAAAAACAATGAAACCCAGAGGCACCCTGGGTCATCAAACCATCAAAAACATTCTCACAGGTTCAAGCCATTCGGGCTGCAACCAGGGCAGGGAGCCCCTATGGATATTGGCGCGGTCCAAGGAGGACAGATGCGCAGATTCCGGGGAAACTGCTATAATTGCGGCCAAGAGGGACACATGTCCCAAGGCTGCAGAAAAGGAGTGCAGGCCGCTCAGCAAAAAAATAATCAAAGGCGCTGTTATGCACAAGGTGCTTAACAAAGTCTGAGGGTTCGTCGGGTTTGTTCAAAGAGACTTATCCAAAGACAAGTTCGAGGATGTAGTTCTGAATAGAGGGATTCCAACGGTTGTTGGTCTTCTTCCGTATGGAAGGCTGATCTTAGGAGTCTAGCTTTGTAAGCGTAAACTGCGTAGAATCGTATTGGAGAATACTACTACTGTTACAAGCGTATTTATAGAGAAGTAAGTCGGCAATAGGAGTTGTGTCCTATCTAGGGTAGGTCTGTCCGTTGAGGACTGAGTACTATACAAAGTAATAGAAATGCGGGAGGAGCGGAAGTGTACATGAGGGATGTGAGTCATCAGTCCGATGGTATAACCGATGAGTAAAGAGAAATGAGTAGTCCATAATATAGATAGACAAATCGTAACAGGCGCCAGGCGCACCAATTAGAGTCCAAGAAACCGGACAATCGGCTCCAAACTCTGGCCGGTTGTTCGTACAACGAAATCCGGGCCTTTTTCTATGACCAACAGGTCAATGAGATGAAGGCTCAGGGAAAAAAGTTCGGAGCTTAGGTCACTTGGGTACCTTCGCTCCTATGAACAATGAAGCAAACCACAACAAAGTGGCCCCTGCTCCGAGGTGTTGCACAAGCAATAAAGGAAAGACGGGGATGGCTCCCCAATTTGTAAATAGATTTTTAAATTTATTATCAAAAGAATGTACATGTATGAAACATTGTGACTGTAATATTTATGACACTACCGCTACACCAGCGTTTCCCTTAGAGCATGGCCCCGGCGAGACAAACACTAGGGTGCTTGATTCTGGTAAAAATAAAATAGAAAAACATGTCACTTTTGATACCCCTTCTTCTTCACTGGAGCCACCCTTTCCCAAAATCCCAAGGTGTGTGTTGATGCGCACATATTTATTCCAAAAGGAGATCCATTTAGACGTTGGTGTGGAAAACCTTGCCCGGGGCATAGTACACACAACCAGCGCACTGCTTGATTCAGGCGCTAACAGAATCTTCATAGATCAGGTCTGGGCGGAGCAAATTGGACTCCCCCTTGTAAAATTAGATGTATCTATTCCCGTCTATAACATTGACAGTACGCTGAACGCGGGTGGCTGCATCACGCACAAGTGTTCTTTTGTGGTCAAATACCAAGGACACAGAGAACAAGTCACCGCCAAAGCTACCCAACTAGGAAAGATTAATTTAATCTTGGGCTGGACCTGGCGATTTAAACACAATCCTGAGATCAACTGGCAGACAGGGGTTGTCACATTGTCACATTGCCCTCAGGAGTGTGTGAATTTGGGTAAACCAAATCATGTCCGTCACAATGAGCGTCTTGAAAAGATAAATGCTGGTCATGTTTATGAGCTCAGATCTTTAAAAAAGATCAACAATGACAATGATGAGGTAAAACCTGAAGAAGAGCTCAAGAGGCTGGTACCTCCCGAGTACAATGACTTCTGGAAAGCCTTTTCAAAACATAAATCAGAGCGCTTCCCAGAGGCTAAGCCCTGGGACCATGCTATAGATTTGAAAAACACCTTCAAACCAAGAAAAGGACACATGATACCACTCTTTGCTCCAGAAAGAGATGAGGTATCAAGTTTCATAGACGAATAGCTTAGGAAAGGTTACATCAGACCTTCCAAAAGTCCTATGACGTCCCTGGTGTTCTTCATTCATAAAAAGAATGGAAAAAAGTGTATGATTATGGACTATTGTTACGTGAATGAGCACACGGTTAAAAATGCATATTCGCTGCCTTTGATCAGTCAGCTAGTAGACAAACTGGCTGGTGCCAAGATCTTGACAAAATGGCAACTATCAAATATACAACAAAGAGATGCTGGCCATCATTAGAGCTCTAGAGCACTGGCAGCACTACTTAGAAGGTGCTAGGCACCAATTTGAAATTTCAACTGATCATAAGAATCATTTTATGATGGCCCAAGACTTGAACCGGAAACAGGCCCGCTACGTGGTATACTTGTCTAGGTTTAACTATAAATTAATTCATAAGCCTGGAAGCTCTATGGGGAAAGCCAATTCTTTATCCAGAAGAGAGGATCATGCCAATGGCATAAGAGATGATAACAAAGGTGTTACCTTGATAGACCAATCAAGGGTTGCCAATGTTAGAATTGGGCAAGATTCTGATCTCCTGGAAATCTTCAGGAAAGACATCTCCTCAGAAGAGAAGGCACACCTTGATGGCAATGAAAACTATTTATGGGTAGATGGGCTCTTCCGTTTTAAGGACAAAATCTATGTGCCTGAGTCTGCAAGGATCAAGCAATAGACAGACATCACGACACTCCAGTGGCTGAGCACCCTGGGTGGCAATGAACAATGGAGTTGATCTCCAGAAACTACATGTGGCCTGGCATGGTCAAAGACATACAGGAATACGTAAAATCCTGCCTGAGATGTGCCATGGCTAAGAATTCTCATCAATCGCCAGCCGGTAAACTTATGCCAAATCCAATACCAGCTGGTCCTTGGCAGGATATACCGGTTGATTTCACAACGGATCTGCCCGAGTCAAATGGGTATGATTCAGTAATGGTGGTAGTTGATTGCTTCTCCAAAGAAGTGATATTCATACCCACCAACAAAACCATTACTGCCACTGGTACGGCCTAAGGGGTAACCACTCCCATTATCTTCCTTATAGTGTGTTCTGTGTGCACTAGAGTAACTAACTCTTGGTTGTTACAAAAGGTGTGGGGCGATTCGATCTGCTAACACTAGGAGAGCAGTTTTGTGGTTTGCTACTTGTTGTCTGAGTTCACGTCTCCATGAGCTGTTGTTCCAACGAGGGGTTTCTAGAATTCTCTGTTTGTAGATCTTGATTGGGCAGTGCTTCAGGTGAATCAAATTAAATCTGAATAATTCTTTGGACACTTGATCTGATTCCCACAAGAATCCTTGAGCAGCTGTGAATGTGTCCTTTAATAAGTGCAATGTATTGGCAAAGTTGGGAGATTTCAAAGGCTACATTGTCAACTGCTAAAACTAACTCTTCTAATTCACTGATTGGAGAGGATGAAGCTGATAAGTCTTCATAGTATTCTGTTTCAGGATCACTGTGGGCAGGTAGGGAATTTGTAACAACTAAGAGTGACTTACTCTGGCGCACACAAAAACACACTATAAAAAAGATGATGGGAGTGGTTACCCCTCAGGCTGCAGTGAGTTTGTTGGTATACACAGGAGGACTTGCTGAGGAGTCTCCTGGATCTATTGGGGTATATATACTACTACAGAGTTGTTTGTACTTATGTACTATACAGTTGATAAAAATAGTGGCTAATGATGCCATGGGGCCTAGCCTACATGACCAGCTCCACTGTGTGAGAGAGTTGTATCTAAAAATAAGAAGAAGGCAATATCTAAGTAGTGCTGTCAGTGCTCTAGAGCTCTAATGATGGCCAGCATCTCTTTGTTGTATATTTGATAGTTGCGCTCTGTAGGCAACAAACTATGCAATAAATAGGCACAAGGCCTCCAAAGATTGTCAGGGCATTTAATGGACAAAACAGCCCCAGTAGCAAAATCAGAAGAGTCGGTTTCTAGCCGGAACTCTTTGTCTAATTCTGGAAATGCTAATATGGGCGCTGTTGTAAATGCCTGTTTAAGCTTATCAAAAGCCTCTTGTTCTTTGGCGCCCCAGTGCCAAACAATATCCTTTTTAGTGAGATCATTCAACGGTCTCGTGATTTTTGCAAAGTTTTCAATAAATCTTCGGTAGAAATTGCTTAAGCCAAGGAAGGCCCTAACTCCTTTGACACAAGTAGGTTTTGGCCAATCCAATATAGCTTGAACTTTCTCAGGGTCCATCCTGACTCCATTCTGGCCTATGATCATACCAAGGAAGTCTACTTCCTTCACTTTAAAATTACATTTTTTGGGTTTGACGAATAGGTCCCATTCCTATAAGCGTCATAGGACTTCTTGCACAATCCTGTTGTACTCAGCCTCATCGTCCGACTTCTTAAATATTAATAAATTGTAAATTTAAATGACAACACAGTTTTCCATATCCGCAAAGATCTCATTCATCATGCTCTAGAACATTGCCGGTGAGTTGGTTAACCCAAAGAACATAACAAGGGGTTCAAAGGATCCTCAGTGGCACGTAAACGCGGCCTTCCAAGCATCTGTTTCTTTGATCCGTACATTATTGTACCCCCATCTGAGACCCATTTCCACAGTTGTAACAGTTGCCCTTGAATCTGCACATTTGTCCGCCTTGGACTGCGCTGATATCCATAGGAGCACCCTGTCCTGGCTGCAGCCCAAACGGCTTGAACCTGTGAGAGTGATTAGGTTGGTTTAATGACCCAGGGCGCCTCTGGGATGTGTTGTTTTTGGTGCTGGACCTGCCATCTTGGTGCATAGTGTAGAGCTCTACGGCTCTACCGACTCATCGTACTTCCTCAGCCACCAGGGCCAAGTTGTCGTTTCTTGTATCCTGCAAGTAGATTTGTTCTGCAATGCGGGGGTTCACATTGCGCTCCAGCAGTTCTACTGCGTGTTCATTGCAGAGCCCTCCTTGAATGGAGAGGGCCAGGAACCGGGTAACGTAATCATCTGTCCTCATGTTGCCTTGTTAGAAGGAACGGATTTGCTGACGCGCCCAGTCACGCTGTCGATGATGAGAACTGTTGTTAGAAAACCACACACAAAAACAAACTAACAAACAATCCTCCCAGATTCCACGGAACTTGTTTATGGACTTTGCCTCCTAGAACAGTGGGTGCTCTGGTTGTTCGTGGGGTGGTATGTATGAAGGTCCTTCAAAGTAAAACCCAGAGATGTATGGGTGTGGGTTTTGAGGAGGAGGGATAGTTGAATTTATAGAAGATGGGGGCTTAATGACGAGCACTACCTTGCTAATTGTAGCACAAAGTAGGTTTGAGAACGACAAAGATGACGAGGTGACAAGGTTCCCAGTGATAGCAGGCTCCTGACGCACAAACTGTAGTGCTCAGAAGGACTCTAATCAAAAGGGATGAAAATGACTTCAGAAGTTGGAAGTGACGATGACAGCAGTTAACAGTGGTAGAAGTGGGAAGTGTGGTGACCACACTGGATCACAAGTAGCAGAGTAGTGAACTTGAGAGTAGAGAAGAAGTCTGGAATCGAGTTCTTTGTTGTTTTTACAAGGTAAAATACAGGGGTTTATATAGTGAAAAGAAAGGTAGGCTATGCACAGTATAGCTGCGCAAAAAGAATGAGAAAGAACATGAAGGAAGGAATGTACGCTGACGAATCCTGCGTAGTTGCTACAGGATAAGATCATCAAAATAAGGGAAAGAAAGGGATAGAACAATGAATGCTGTGAGTAATGTCACAGGTTTGTACAGCCATAAAGTAAAGTCCAATAGCAAAAAGAGAGCAGGAAAATCATGATGTCATGGGAAGATGCAGTAAAAAAAAGGGCAAGGAAAAACACTATTAGTATCAACACAGTTCCTTTATTGTCAGTCAGGCATTCTAAAAAAATATGTGTCCATAAAAATGATTCAAAAATCAAAAATAATCGCACTGCAAATGAATGTTCTGCTGAAAAAAAAGAAACTGGAGCCACCGGTCCACCACCTAGTCCAAATCCGACAGTTCCATGGCCTTACCAATGGACTGGTTATGTTGGACCACCTAATCAAACGAGGGAGGGAGAGGAGTAGTTCCAATTTGGAACAAGTGAGTCCCAGGCAGCGTGTGGTAGGTGTAGCTGTAGCGAAGATGATGGACAAAGGATAAGTGTACCCAAGTGAATGGGACAGCGATGAACATGGGCGACGCGAGGGGATGAACCTTCTCCAGCTCAAAAACTACCCACCCACGCTCCAACCAGGCAAGACGAGCGACCAATGTTTTGATAGTATATGATGGCAGATTGACGTCATGAAGATGGACCTGTTGCCCTATTTGGACCGGCTGCCGGGGCTTTGCTGATATCAGCAGTGGCACGTGGTAGTCAACGGATTGGATATCAGCAGTGGCATGTGGTAGTCAACGGATCGGATATCAGCAGCGGCACGTGGTAGTCAATGGATCGGCAACGGAAGCGGATAGGAAGTGGTGACATCAGAAATGGTGGGGGTGCAAATAATATGAGCAGGAGGAGGGTGGAGGTGACGAAAAAGTGGATTAGAATGGGGATCCAGAAACAACCGTCGGGTGAGAATAAAAAGGAGAGGAAGGGGCCCATGGTGGGGCTAGGCAAAGGAAGGGGAGTAAGGGAAACAACAAAAGCGAGGGCGCAATGAAATGTGTAGCCAGTGGCGACGCGAAAATTTGCCGAAATGCCGAAACACGGAAAGTACTGGATGGAAAAGCAAAGGTGAGCGTGACTGGATTGCCTAATAGAGGTGGTGCTGATCAGCCACAAGTTCGAAACAGGCAATATTAATTACTATTCCACGTGGCACTGTGCCTGTGTGGCGCAAAGGCGAGTCTTTTCGAATATTCGCTTCGTTATTGACACCTGTCCATGCTACCAATCAATTTTGGCGCATGACAGCGGCCCTAACGCAACCTAATGACAATTATGAAGATGTGGCCAAACAAGCAGAAGCGACCTTGAGCAAATCACTCCAACTTCATAGATGTGGCAAAGGATGCCAAAAACTTGTGGATGGCCACTTTGTTTGCAAACAACAGGCACCATTCTCACTAGCATCAGAAGATTGGGCAGACAAGTTTGGGAAGTGGGATTCAAAAAAACTATGGGCATACCTCAACGCATGGAACCCTGAAATTATGGAATGCATATATGCTAATCATGATGTTAAACTAATGCTAAATGGACTTGGAACAAAGGTCTTGCCTCGTATATAACAAATAACATGTCCAAAAAGCAAAGGGAATCTTCAAACATAACTGCCCTGCTCGCAAGGACGTTGGCTTTCCACAGAGCTAAGGAGAGGCAAAATGCAGACCTATAAAATGCTAACAAAAAAATGCTTCAAAGATGTGCCAACACACTAAGTCGCAAGCAAGAATTCAGCGCACCAGAGGTAGTTGGTTATGTCATGGGCTGGGGTGATCAATATGTGTCACGTCATTTTGAAACTATCTATTGGGATAGTGTTGTGACTCAATTACAAAACACATTCCTGATACTACAAGCTGGACATGTGAGATTGATTGATTTCTGCACCTGCCTGTAAGAACCTGGGCTATAGGATCATGAGAATTGGAAGGGTTTATTGTTAACCAAATTGATGGTGGATTTTTCATAATGGTGAATCCCCAAACTTGTTTTCAAAGTTTAATCCTGGATTCATCCGTACCCATTACTTTAGCCCTGATGGTGGATAAGTGCCTTTTGAGTGATCTTATGGTAGGATTTGATATGGTCTTCTTTTGGCTCTCCTCTTTGCTTGCAATTGCAAAGTCTGAGACATTTAATGATTATATGGCTTCTTCATTTTGATGGAATGTGTTTTTGCTAAGTTGTAAACATGCAGACCGACAGACTTATTTCTTCTGTATAACCCCAAATGCCTGGAACATGAATTGATGATCCAGTTGAAACCTCTTATCTCCATAGTGTAATGCCCATTGCGCATGGAGTTCGTAAGTGACCTTTCTTTTCTTGTTTGTTTCAAAGCCACCCTGCCCATATGGAAACAACCAAGGGAAAGTACCAAGCATGTGATTAGGATCCTCTGTTTGTCCCTCATAATTCATCCCTTCCTCATCAGTCCGAGGGTATTCATTGACAAACAGTGATCCTCTTCTGATTGCATAACCTCCTTTTTTCAGATCTTTTGATATATTCGCCAATGCATGAGCAAGTAGTTTGTTTTATTGAATGTTGCTTCCAGATGCATTGACCACTCCTAGAGTTTGTAATGGTATGGTAGCCTCTTTGGGATAATTTAATAGCTGGCCATGTAGGACTACGCAAATTTTCTTACCTTGCTCGGCAGAGCTGTGTTCATCTTCATTATCCTCCATATCAGTAACTCCTGAAATTTTCAGATTCTCTGCAAGTCACTGGGTATGAGCTTATTTCCCCGCTGAATGTTGACAATTCTTACCTTCACTTCTGTCTGGTACATAGTTTGAACATTCTATCTCGAGCTGATCAATGTCAGACGAAAATTGAACATTGTCCATTAGCTCTGGAGGAACATTATTATCTGGTAGCAATGCAATCTTCACTGATTATTATATCAGAGTATAATGGGTTGTTATGCTGCAGGAACTTCAGTGCGTCTTGCACAGCATTTCTTTGTACTAGGAACAGGCCATTCATGCATCTTTCAGGTATATTCTTCGGCCCAACAATTGTCACTCTAATAGTTGACGAAAGCACACTAAGACTGTGTAGTAAGATTGAATTGGCTACCATGTTGAGAATGTCCTTGGTTGGCAATCGGTATGTCAATACATTTTCCCTGATTCCACTATTCAAACCTTTGGCATCCCAATCTTTTGCACCAATTTTTTTGGATAAAGCTTGATGACATGTACCGCTAAGAAATATTGTGGTATCAACCTCCTCTCAGTGATTATTGACCTGCTCAGCTCAACAGGTACTTCACCCATCCATAAACCATTTGCTAGTGAAAGTCTCGGTGTTGTTTAGGATGTGGTGAATAGGGAAACAGGCAGCTTTTGTGAGGTATTGATGAGACTAGGATCTTTGTTAAGCCATAAGCAAACATCAAGCTTCCGCATACAGCACATATATCTTGTTTAAGTGCAGCGTTATTTGTCTGTTGTATAAATTGGCGGATATGTCCCTTGCTTTTTTCTGTATCCCCAACATCCAGAAATTTTTTGTATGCCTGTGATGGTCCATTTGATGGGGAGGTTCTTTGTCTTCTCCCATTACACTCCTACTTTTTTTTGATTTATACTATGTGAACCCCTTTTTTCTTCTACGGCAGTAGCATATAATGCACACCATTCTTCAGGTAATTTCTCAATGACCTCAACTAGTAATTGTTTTGACCTTTTTTGCTCCCTAGTGAATGTAACAAAGTTTGATATGCGCAATATATGCTCTATTGTCAGAACTGAGAACATAGACATGATGTTTTGTTGTTGTAAAGAGTTTTGTTGCAGTCAACCTGTCATCTTTTCCAAATTGTTCAAAACTGATGACCTGTAGAACGTGACGTCTACATTATAGTCTAGACCAGTTCTCCTATGTGGATCATGTGGAGTTTGAGTCCAAACCAAGTCATCATTTCAACTGATGATGATGGCAACCGCTGGTTCTACAATTACAACATCATCCACACTAAAGAGGTAAAGTGCCTCCTAATTTATATTATTTAAATGAATACTTCAACACAGATTTTTTTCAGCTCTTCCTTCTTACCCTTGTCATTGTATTCGATGCTGTCTCTTATTGTAACAACACCCGCAGCCTCTCCACTTATGTTGCATCTGCAGTATTCTTGTCCTGCATGGGCTGGAAACAATTAGGCAACGGTCATGGGGTTATCACCAAGCAAACTGGCGATGAGTCTGCCATGATTATTATTGGGAAAGTCAAGGATTTCAAGTTATACTGTGGTCCCAATGGTAACTTTAGCAATTGGTCATATGGAACTCTAGCAGGTGCAAAGTTCCAATTCACCTTGGGTGTACCGGAGCAACCAGCCTTAGTCGATGATCTTAACAAGGGTTTTGACAATTTACTCAAAGTACAGTCATCTACAGCTGCCACTACGGACTGTCATTACTTCTTAGAGGAACAAGGGTGTATTAAATAAAACAGTCAAATTTAGTACACCTATTTTTGAAAAAATTGTGACGCTTTTCCTACTCATTTATCATGTATCCTATCTCAATGAACTTCTACAGCAGCTGTTATCTCAATCAGAGGATTCTGATGTTTCTGGTTAGTTGTTTTCCACTCACAATGTTTGCCCTATGCATTCATCACTAACTATTATGATTCAGAAAGAGTGAATTATGAGAGTGAAATAGAAACTTGGCCCGTGTTGGTGTGAGGCAACGATAAACTATAACAAAAACAAAACCTGTCTCCTTCTGCACTTGCAGGGAGTAAGAGGTTCGATGAGCTTGAGGTCGACAGACGCTAGTTAATATAGCGAGTAGAGGACTTTGAGAGGTAAGCTTCAAAGGTTTTTGTTGAGGAGTAAAGCGGGTAAATTCAGTAATAGAAAACTAAGGAGCCATACATGAATAGGTAAGGCTTTATATAGTGAACTGTTCGTTCCTCAGATTGAAAGGAGAATATTTGAAAAGTGGTCTGAGAAATCAATTGGCCAATAAGAAAAAGAGAGAACAACTATTGTACGACTTTTAACTTGATTAATCAGCGGTGAGAAATTTGTACTAATAATAGAGGTTTGTTACATGTGTTCAGGAACCGTATCCTCATGATGAGGTACAATCCTGAACAAAGTGTTTATTAGTGTATCCAGGCTTTACTGGGGCTTGGAGCTGGTTGGAGGAATGCCTACTACCAGTCCCTACCCAGTGTGCTGGCTGGCTGGGAGCGATACCCAGTCTCTGATCTGTGATATAAAATGGTAGCAATGGTTAAGAAAGCCTGTGAGGGCTATGAGAAGTAAAATGGCAAATGATACCTCTAGCCCTAGAGCCAGAGGTGTAATAGGAAAAGTGTTCAAGAACCAAGATATAGCGAAGATAAGAAAATAATAAAATGGTCCTTACAGTCGGAGGAATACCAAGAGGACCTAATGGCCATCAAAACCCAATATATTGTTCTTGACGTTTATAATGGTTAACCCACCGCTTATTGTAACAACAATGCAGTGCCCTCTTTCTGCTATTGGACTTTATTTTATGGCTGTACAAACCTGTGACATTACTTATATAGCATTCATTGTTCTATCCCTTTCTTTTTCTTATTTTGACAATCTTATCCTATACTACCTATGCAGGATTTGTCAGCGTACATTCCTTCCTTCATGGTCTTTCTCATTCTTTTTGCACAACTATACTGTGCATAGCCTACCTTTCTTTTTACTATATAAACCCCTGTATTTTACCTTGTAAAACAACAAGAACTCAAATCCAGACTTCTTCTCTAATCTCAAGCTCACTACTCTGCTACTTGTGATCCAGTGTGGTCACAACACTTCCCGCTGCTACCACTGTTAACTGCTGTCATTGTCACTCATCACTTTTGAACGTCATTGTCATCCCTTTCAATTAGAGTCCTTCTGAGCACTACAGTCTGTGCATCAGGAGCCTGCTACCACTGGGAACCTCATTATCTTGTCATTCTCAAACCTACCTTGTGTTACAATTAGCAAGGTAGTGCTTGTCCAAACTTGCTACAAAGCCCCTATCTTCTTTATTCCAACTATCCCTCCTCCTCAAAACCCACACCCATACATCTCTGGGTTTGACTTTGAAGGATTGTTATACATAGCACCCACGAACAACCAGAGCACCCACTGTTCTAGGAGGCAAAGCCCATAAACAAGTTCCATGGAATCTGGGAGGATTGTATGTTAGTTTGTTTTTGTGTGGTTTTTCTAACTACAGTTCTCATCATCAACAGCGATACATCTCTCTGTGAGCCGGCTTTTCCCATCTCACTAATTGTCGTCAAGCCTGATAGAACGCTAGCTTCATCACCAGCTCCCTCATCCTCTTTACCTTCCCTATCTTGTTCTCCCTCTCTCCTTTCTCCTGCTACCATCTGGTTGTTGGCTCTATTGTGTTCAGACCACAAACATTCAACAGGTATGCATAATTTCTTTGACAGACTGTCTTTGCCTGCTCTGACATTGTCTGAACCCATAGCTTCTAGGTCTTGTGCCCTTCTATACGCCTGGGTGAAAGCGTAGCGCCAGCCAAGAATGCCTGCAGCGTCCAATAGCTTGTTAAATGAAGGTATGTTCTTTTGTCCCTTCTTTTCTTTGAAATGTCTGATGAAATCACTACAGTTAAAGTAGACTCTCCCAAAACAAACTGTAAGTCTTGCGCGGGAGAGTGCTGTGAAGACCTTCTTCTTGTCTGAGTCATAGATGGCATCATTTATGTAAAAGTATGCCTTGGCTGACAACATCCATCTGTTGGCCCGGTCAGGCATTCTATTGAAATCATCTATTTGTCTGAATTTGGTAGGTTTGGGTGTAGCAGTGTTGGACATGGTGCTTGTTGGTGGGATAGGAGATGTATTAGGTGCTGTGGGAAGTATCTGTGATGTGGGTGGTGGTATCGGTTGGCCTTCTGCAATGAATTCTTCAAAATCATTTTTGTTGTAGACGTCTGCTTCAGTTACTGGGGGATCGTGCTGGGTTCTGGGTATTAGCTGTGGGTGACTTCTTGCATAATACTGTAGCCAACATGTTCTGGCTTTGTAGAATGTGTCTGTTTGTTCTCTGGTGTGGAGTCTGGTGACGTTGGGTTGGGGAAAGGGGGGTGGTGCTGTTGTTCTTTCTTGTCTAGATGACACTGGGGGTGTTGCCATTTGGGTAGGCTCTGCTCTAGTCTGCGCCCTAGTGGTGGGCCTTCTTCCTTGTGACATTTTGTTGTCTTTTTCATCCCTTTACTAATAAGTGTGGGATGATGTGGAATACAATTGTTTTGTTATGCTTGGAGTGTACAAGCCTGCTAACAAGAGGGATTTCTGGCAATGAAGTGGTTTCTGATAAGCCCGTAGGTAACGGGTTTGAGACATATTCTGATAAAGAGGGCTTTACTGATGAAAACCAAGTTGCACTGTTGAAGCATACAATTATATTGGAGATGTTTACTACAATACAAGCATCTATATATACTGTCCTACTTTAGGGTAGGTGTTTGTGTTGAACAAACAATGACCAGTGAGAAACCATAACAGGTAACTAGTGTGGGAATAAGAATAAGTAGCAGTGCATAGCTACTCAGAGAAGAAAATAAAGTCCTTAAGAGACATAGTTCGTAACAGGAGGTGGAAAAATGGCAGTTTTTTATGGATTGCTCTTCACCGTGCAAGAATTAGCATGCAAACCTATTAGAGTGGGCCCCTTACTGGAAAAACCAGTCATTTTGATAGTGACAGTGTTAAATGCACTGGGAGATACACAGGTTAGTTGCAAGACAAAAGAGAACAAGAAACAAAAACTTACTGTAAGAGTAGGCTGCAGAAATGAACAACCTTGGCATCAAAGCTGTTTTGGTTCATTTCAGTAGCATCCAGGCAGCAAACCTCAAAGAACAAAACCTGGTGGACAAGATCCAATAATGCCAATGGTCAATATCTATATAGAGTCCAGAAAAATTGAAGCACATGTTGTGTCTTCATGGGGCACTGATTTCCACAAGGCGTACAATCAGATGGGATGGTTACAACAAAGGCTACCAGAAAATGTACCTCTCATAGCTGTAACAGCCACACTAATACCTGGTCAAGAAACCATAGCTGTGTGCAGTGCTCTTGGTCTGGCTGAGGGTCAGTACTACCACCTACAATAGTTTTGTGAGCATGTGAATATTCAAGTGGTTGTTGAGTCACTCACCCATAGCATTGGCAGCCAAGACTTCCCTGAAATCCCATTGGTTCTGAACCCAGGCAAAAAGGCGGTGGTATACTGCAATACAATTGAGTTAACATATTGTGTCACACAATTTTTATCTGGGCACTTACCAGAGGCTGAATGATCCATGACCATCCAACTTTGGTACTCAGTGACTTTCACAGCGTGCAACCACAAGACCCTACAATTATTTGAAGGCAACCCTGGTACTTGAGTCATTATTGCAACGGTAGCCTTTGGGATGGGAATTAATAGGAGAAATATCCAAAAGGTAGTAAATTATGGTTTACCTTCTTTGTTGAGCAGCTTGGTGCAGCAAAAAGGAAGGGCAGGGCAAAATCCAGATGATGATGCTGTCTGCATAACCTATGTAGAAGTGTCAGTTATCAGCAACATCACTGTGCACCAACAAGGAAAAATGTTGAAGCCACAATGAGTCAAATGTAAACAGACAGTCCAAACAACACCAGCAAGTGAGCCAAAAATGGCACCCAACTTGGTGCGCTTTTTCAGCAATCATGTAAATGGCAGCTGCCCGCAGGTCGCTATCCACAACACTTACCAGAATCCAGGTGATTAATCACTCACTGATTTCCTCACTGCAAGGCGTTCATCTCTGTGTAGCCCGTGTGAACTGTACCATCCACCTGTAGCTATGTATGGCCAACTGCCCACTGAACTCAAACTGCCCCAACCAGCTTCACTGCAGCTCCCAGAATCCACTCAAACAAAGGGCAAGTACAAAGTCTTCAGTCCTTCACTCCCTCTCCCACTCACCAAAAACACTGTCAAGCATGCCCAAAAGTTATTGATGGACTTCACTGCTCAGTGCTGGGCTCTCAAGACAGGCCCTTTGTATTGCTGGATTCCCTTCAGTGCCTTCTGGACTGAAGGTGTCCTCTCAGCTCTCATGCCCCATTTCCACCATGTTTGGTTGCCTACCTACCTTTGCAGTCTCATTGCTGACTGAAAATACCTTGAAAAAGATGGCAAGGCATTGTGGGGTTTTCTGGAGAGCCTCATTTGCCGCTACAATGCTCAAGTCCTCAAGAGCAAGGTCAACAGGCAGAAACAGGCAGCAGTAACAAGGGCTCAAACTAAGAAAAAAAAAAAAAGTACTTTCTATGAGTGGTTTGCCCAACTCAGTGCTAACTCAATCTAGCTAAGGAGGCACAGGCCTTGCAACCACAAGCCAAAGAAAACTTGTCATCTACACTTGCACCCACATCCATCCTATCACCATCATCCCATTGCAACTTCATTGCCACATCTGTAACGACCAAAAATTTGTTACTCTGGCGCACAACTCAGACAAAGCTATAAAGGTAGTGAGGGGAGTGATTACCCTTGGGATAGGACCAAGTTAGTTGTGGGTAAACAACAGGTTTGTTTGTACATATGTACTATATAGTTGATGAAGGCAGTGGCTAATGATGTCATAGGGAACAGCCCGTGTAACTAGCTCCACTGCGTGAGATACTTGTATTCTAAAAATAAAGAAACACAGTGCAGTGCAAGAAGGTGGAGTTTAAACAAAAGGGAAAGTGCTGCATGGCACAGTGTGTAAAAACTACAGAAGGAAGTTGAAGAGGAGAAATTTAAAGGTCCAAAAAATGTGTTATTGTAACAACATCTCTAGAGATGTACAATGCATGCCTAGAATTGCCCCCTCTCCCTCAGTAAGTATCTTTCATTTATTGGTGATGATGCACCCCTTTTTGTACCCTTGCAAGCCTATCTCTTCCCTCTCCACCCACTTCTGGCTCAAAAACACAAGCTCGAAGCTGCATCACCTGCTATAGCAGTCAAACAAACCTGGAGGGACTAAGTATTATGGGTGTTGTTACGATAACACATTTTTGGACCTTTAATTTTCATTCTCCTCTTTAGCCTTTTACTGTAGTTTTCACACTCCGTGCCATGCGGCACTTTTCCTTTTGTTCAAACTCCATTTTTTTGCGCCGCACTGCCTTTTTTCTTATTTTAGCTACAAGTCTCTCACGCAGTGGAGCTGGTCACACGGGCTAGGCCCTATGACATCATCAACCACTGCCTCTATCAACTGTACAGTACACATGTACAAACAAACCTGTAGTAGTATATATAGACCAATAGATCAAGGAGACTCCTCAGCGAGTCCTCCTGTTGTTTACTCACAACTAACTCGGTCCTATCCCAAGGGGTAACCACTCCCCATCATTGCTCTTTTGCTTGTCTGAGTTGTGCGCCAGAGTATACAAACTCTTGGTTGTAACATTAGGACTTGCTCTCTTTACTCTCTCACACGTTGTGCAAACCTGGACCCCAGGGTTAAGGGCAATATTATCATTGTTTGAGAAAATCCTGCATAGCAGATAGGTGCACTCCTAGCAATGGCCTTGTAGTGCTTTGGGAGAAGAAACAATATTTTTGATACATGGCCCCCAGCGTTAAGGGGAGTACTTAGCTCAGCAATCGGTGTGGAACCACTGTTGATTAGAATTTACATACAAAAACTTCACTTTCCCTTTCTTCTGACCAGGCCGGGCACTTGCCTCCGCCAGTTGGAGAAGGGTTGACAGCTTAACAAGCGGACCACCCCCTGACAACCGTTCGGACCAGGGTTTATTACATTTACATTTTTATATACTTTTCAAATACTATAGTGTGGGTAGTCGGAGATTGAGATCTGATACTCAGCTGGGAAGAGGTAGATCCGCAGATAGCAAGTGGGGACCCCCAGTTATATTTTTTTTACTTTACAAAGAGAACAAGTCGACATGTTGTTGCTGTTAGTTTTGGTGATTCTGCACCTTTGTGCTACCTATATATATTTTCATTCCTTTCTCTATCTATTCTTCTATCATTCACTATTGATTGTGTTCTCTATTATTTCGCCTTTGTGGCTGCTTTGTTTACCTTTGTTTACAAAACTTCGGACAGTATTGCAGAGTCCAATGCTTCCTATTCTCTAGTTACTCACATTGGACTCTAGGTACTGTATACCTGTCATACTCTCTAATAATAAAGTTACTCACATTGGACTCTACTTCCAGTCCCTGATTGCTCTCAGCAAGTGGCTAGACACTTCCTTCAAGCTTTGTTCTTAATAGGTTATGAGCCCTGTGCTCTAGCCATCTTCCTGACCTCATATCTCACCATCCAAGCGTCCTACTGCTTATCCATCGTAACCATTGTCTTCTGGGACTCTTATTATCTCATCAATCACCTCAGATTACTCTGATCTCATCTTGATCTCCAAAAACAACTCCTTGTTGCAAGTTACCCCCATTTCGGACGCTTTTTTGGTCTTATCTGCACCATATCTCGCCCAATCCTTATCTGATTGTCCTGTAACTTCTACTATGGTCTTCTACGGCCTAAATAACCCTAGGAGACCTATCAGAGCGGTTGGATTTGAGCTGGATCTTTCTGTGAGCCTTCATCATCATTTGACCACCTTTTGGCCCCCTATTCCATATCTCCACATCCTGTGCTCGGATCTTGGCCCTATTTGAGCCATCTACTACCCTATACTATTGCACTTTACACCCTCAATTTGGGGGCAATCCATCCACTCCATCATCCTCTGTGAAGTTCGCATTTTTGGCACTTTCACCCCTATTGGACTCCTATTGCATATCTCCACATCCTGTGCTTCACTTCTTGTGATATTTGGGCCATCTATTACTCTATAAAAATGTTCCCTATACCTCTGATTTGGTGGCAATCCATCCATCTTATCTGTCTCTGCATCAATTTCGACTTTTTGCCCTATTTTTCGCTTTTTGGCATATCTGGTGTGTGCATAAAGCTCCAATCTTCTCTACTCTGTCCATTATCAGATAGAACAAGCCTATAGACTGTGAAGCTCGCCTGCATTGCCTCAGTTTGCTGTTGCCTAGAGCCTCTCTCAGTCTGCGGTGTTTGGGGAGCTTAAGTCACTTTGTTGACTCATATACAAGCCCTATTAACCAACACTGTCTCGAGGCGATTTCTCTGTTAATATCAGTGTGGAATTGAAAGGGGAACACAGGCGTAACCCTGTAGCAGCACTAGGAAGCCTTAGCACCCTCCTGGATCGCTTTTGGACGCTTTTTGGACCCTATTTGGACCTATCCTTGCGCTTTCTGACCCTCTCCATATCCTCTCTCTACCGCCTCACCATCTTATCTGCTCGCCTCCTACTGTTGCCCATTGTCTTTGCCACTATTCCATCGCCTATAGCCATCTCCTACATCATTTATCATTGCTCTATTGTTTTATACAACACCCATCATGTCTGACTCTGATCCCAAGTTCCATCCCTTGTCTGGCACTAACTACCCCCAGTGGAGTGGTGAAATGCAAGCTTGGTTGATGACCAAGGGACTGTGGAGGCTCGTCTCTGGTGCTGAAAAGTGTCCTGGGACTGACGCTGAAGCAATAGAAAAATGGGAGTTGAGAGCTGAAAAGGCTGCTGGTGCATTATACCTCAATGTCACCAAAGAGCAGCGCATCCATCTTGATGGCATCATTGATGATCCTGTCAAGATCTGGGAGAAACTGGCAATTGTGCACATCTCTAAGAAGCCTGGGACGAGATTTAATGCCTATGACGACTTCTTCTCTATCAGAAAGAAGGAGGACGAGTCCCTGCAGTCTCTCATGACCAGAATTGACGAAGGCATGCATCAGATTCAAAATCTTCGTCCTACTGGCTTCTCATTGTCTGAATTGGACGATGAATTGACATGCATGGCCATGATTAGGGCGCTTCCTGATCAATATGCCCACTTCACTTCATCTCTACTATTTCTGGGCCGGAAGGTCTGGGTAATCTTGTGAAACTCTGTCGTGCTGGGGATAGAGCATTGCAATTATTGCTCTTGGACAAGACCCAGCTCAGGGATGCTTTCCTTGCTGAAGAGGTCAATCGCCGTCGTCGTGCTGAAGTTGATTCTGCCTTGCATTCTTCGTCTACCACTGCCAATAGCACCTGCACCCATCCTAACTGCCATCATTGCAACCAATCCACCACCTCTACTCGCGTTCAGTGTGATTTCTGTGGTTTACTTGGTCATACCCAAGACAAATGCCACAGATACATTGCTAGTCGCCAACAGGCAGTGGAGGGTGCTAAGAATCGCTACAAGCGTGGCAATAAGGCTCAGGCAGGCTCCAGCAACTCTCAGAATACCTCTCAGCAGCCCAAATCTTCGCCCAACAATGCCAATTCATCTACTGTGGTCACTGAATCA